CCAAAGTCCTGGGGGGTGCCCCAGAAAGGGATAGGGTTAGGGGATACTACAGGGCTTTCAGTTCCTACCTGTGGTTCCTCGGAGTGTGTCGGCCCAGCTTGGCGGGCTTGCGCCCTGGTAGTCACGGGGCAGGTTCCAGCAGGATCTGGGATAGTCAGCTGTGAAGTTAGGCACCCCAAATCGTTCCCCAACAATACTTCCGCAGGTAGGCCGGACATAATGCCTACTTCCATCTGTTTGGCTCTGGTGCCCCAATTTAACTGCACCTGTGCTGTGAATGGCGCCTCCTGCCGCTCTTATTGCAACAGTCCTGTTGGTGCGTGCCTTTGCAGATACGGTGTGAGGCTGCACCAGGGTTAGGGTGGCCCCGGAGTCTCGTAGTGCCTCTGCCTCTTTTCCATCTACTGTGACCCATTGTCTGTGGTGCAGCCGGTTGTCCCCCTCGGCTTGGGCTAGGTTCACCTCATGTAGTACGGCCCATTGTTCTGAATCAGGGTTGTTGTCTTCAAGCGGCTGTGTCGTGGGTGGTACCACGTTCGGTCTGAGTTTGGTCACAGGCCCTGGCATTGGAATGCTGGACCTCACCAGAAGATGGTTTCCACTAGCCTCTCCTTTTCTTCCCTCGTGATGCTCATCTGCCAGCTTGGCTGCTTCCTCGACTGTGGCCGGCTTCCTATCTCTGACCCAGTACCTGGTGTCTGCAGGGGTATGATCAGAAAATTGTTCTAGCAGGAGGAGTTGCAGCACCTCCTCTAGCGTCGTGGCCTGGCAGCCTTGTATCCAGTTTTGGGCTGCCCGATACATCCTAAAGGCCAATTCTGTGTAGGAGTCTCTACTACCTTTCCGTAATGCCAGAAACTTTTTCCTGTAAGTCTCTGGGGTCACGGCATACCTGGCTAGCAGAATTTCCTTTACCCTGACGTAGTCGTGTATGGCTGTAGTGGCCGGTACGCCTCTGCTGCTCGGCCAGTGAGTTTGCTGCTTAAAATCGCGGCCCATTGCTCTGATTCCAGACCCTCCAAAGCGCACTGACATTCAAAGTCCTGTAGGTATGCGTCAATTTCCATTTCTCCATCCGAAAAACTTTTAAAAGCAGCATAGTTAATCTTTCTCCGCTGCCCTCCATTAATAGATCCAGATAAGGAAGCGGTGTCTCCTTGGTTTAAGCTTGCCTGTTGTGCTCTGCGTTCTGTGCTCACCTTGGCCTGGACTTGCGTCACCATCTCCGGTGTAGGATTTGGCCCATATAGGTTTAGCCTCCACATCACCTTCTGTTGAAACTCTGCTTCCTCCTGGCATTCACCATGCTGCTGGTTTGGTCGCCCTCCATTAATTCTGCAATGAGGGTAGCTTTCTTTTTGTTGCTTGCCAACTGACCTCGGGCTTCCAGCAGATCCTTTAGCGTGGTCCTTTTTAGTCTCTCGTACTGCTGGGCCATTCACCAGTTGTCTTCATGCGTCCCATTCAATCCCGTCGCTTGCCACCAGTTGTTAAGACCTGCAGTGGTTATAGTACTTCTGTCTTCTATTCCTTTCCCAATAGCTGAGCATAAGTGATTATAACTGCAGTTAGGAGGTAGAGGAATAGTGTAGATGAATGCAGCTTCCTAGATGATTCTCCCCAGCAAGTAGAATATTCCCCAAACATGAGCCTAGACTTCATGAAGGGTGTAACAGGAATGAAGTTTATTGATGCCACACTGACTTTTATGAGAAATCCTCCTGCAAGAGGACCTCCCACAATAAACAAAGACAATAACCAATCAACATACAAATTTACAATAACCCCCGCCCTCTCTCTGCCTGGGAGATATTGAGATAAGTTAAGGAATAACCCAATTATCTCCAGGCAGAGGGCACACAATTTCCCCCAAAATTACACCCCTTTCCACACAAGGTATCCCCACAAATTACATATCCCCTAATATCCCCGATCTGGGGCACCAACATATCCAAATTTCACCCAGATCGGTTCAGGGGTTCTTAAAAAGTATGGAAGACACAAGTTACCGACCACACACGAGGCTCCTGCCCAAAACAGTTCCACGAATTCAGCGTTGCGGTTGGTCAATTCAGAAAAATGCAAAAAACAAATAAAAGTCCCGAATGGATTCTCCTGGTTCATAGGAGCGATTGCTCCCCTTGTACCTATGAACCGAACTACCAAATGGCGCTCTCCTGGCTGTTCGGCAACTAAAGGAAGCAGGCGTTCGGTAGTTTCAGCGGTGGTTCGGGAGGTCGAGTGTCCGATTTTAGTTCCAGACACTCGACGACCAAGTCCCGCTGCCACCTTTCGTGCAAACAAGATGGATGCCGTTTTCTGTTCCACGTGGCATTCGGCTATTCGAACAGCGGCCGCCCAGAGAACGCTTAATAGACAGTTCTTTTGAAGTTAATGAGCCAGGAGGGTGGTCGGTGTTTGGTAGTTTTAAACTACCGAACTAATGGATCCCAATTGAACAAAATACTGAGAAGATACAGAAGTTAGTCTATTTTCTTCACAAGCTGTATTGCTCCATCCATTCTTCCTTCAAGTTTCCCAGGCCCTGCTGTCCCCGAATTTCCTTGATGCTTCCATCACTATACAATAAATCTCAGAATAATGGAAAGGACCTGGCATTTTTCTGTGAGTGGGTTCCATCTAATATGCTAATAGTATAGGTTTCCTCTACATAATGACATAAAGGATATCAAACTTGTCTGGTGCGTTCTAAAGGAGCAACTAGACATGCTCCATCACTGTAGTGGTTATGGTGCAAGGAATGTCCTGGTACCCCCCACCATGTAAGTAGTTAAACCTTTTGCTGCCTAGGGTCTGATGTTCCTTGCCCCTTTTCTTTTATTCACAGCCAGAAGCTCCTGCTAGGAGTTTTTGTTGGCTTTCCTAATCACAGTGCTTATTGTGATTGGATCATTATATTATGATATACATTTAATATGTAAGATATTGTGACAGAATTATTTTTTTAATCCAAAGCAAGGTCCAGGCACACAAGTCAAAATTTCAGTAGCTTTTAATAGAATAGATTGATAAGATCCAATAATTTTATTTTATTTTTCTATTTTATTTTTTTAATCCTGTATTTTAGAGGTCTTAATCTTGACCAGTGTATTTTAGAAAAAATCTCAGCCTGTTATGGTACCCGAGAGGAAACCATTCATACTGACAACCTTCCAAATATCCGTTCAAAAAAAATAATATTTTCCATAGTATTTTGTTAAGTCTACAAATTATTGCATGTGAATATTGTGTTTTGAAGTTACAGTAAATATGTTGGTGTATAAGAAAAGTTTGAATTCACACAAAAATATAGAAAGAAACAGGCAAGCTTTAGTAGTATATGAAACCATACCAACAGATAATCTAAAATACATGTGAAAATGCACAAAGAAATCCCTGTAACACATGGTATGTATGGTATAATAATACCAATCCCATTAGTGTAATTGCAGTATGCGTACCATTTACCCAGTAGCAAGCAATTAAATCAAATGGGAACACACCCGGGAAACACACTATGCACCTTTACAATGTTCCTTGTGTGTCTCATGGGCTTAGAACATAATATTTACTAGCACGCACCTATCCTCTTTCTGATTGGTTGCTTATTGTGTATGTTCTTTGTTTCCAAGGAGTTTATTCTGCATTGATTATCATAGTCATTGTTCCTTGTCTTTCATATATAACCTCCAGTGTGTCCCTCGTATTACAAAGCCATCATGACCTGTAGGTTGAAAGGTTTAAATGTATACTAGGTTTTAAATGTATTTAATGATTAAAAAAACAAAAGCTAATTTGAAACTTTCATCTTTAAGAGGTCTATAAAATGAGTATCATTAAAGCAGCATTATCACCCCTCCCCATCCTGCATGAAATACTCATGCTCTCTGAATTTCTCTGAAATTCCAACCCAGTCAAAAGATATTCTGTGACAATAGAGACTACTTTGTCTCAGTATTTATCCTACGCCTGACATTTCTAGACACTGGATGAAGCTACTGCCGTCTAGAAGTGTCACTCAACCAGACTTTACCAATGACAGCAGGATCCTCCATAGACCTCAGTGCTGTACCCTCCATTGATTTTTGGCTCCACTGAAGTGCCAGGAGCAGAGGAGGACCAGCTGGGAGAAGATGGAGTAGCAGCCCCTATCCTGTCCACACTAGTCTCACAATGCTTTCATATGGGAAAGCATTGGATTGGCTAAGATAATCAATCTCCAAATTCTGAGCCAAGGAGACCGCTTCACTGTAGAGAATGGCATGGCAAGGGCTGCGAGGGAAGTAAAACCCACCCTTCCAACTCTCATACAGCAGGAGGGACTTTAATACAGTAAAATAGAGACCATAGCATTGCATGTTTGTATTTCTAATGCTGTTATCTTACTCTAAATTGTGTGATATGAATATGGTATTTCTTCTGTTAATTTATGTAATTTATCTTTATTTTATTTATTTTTTTAATTTTTGTGTAACTGGTCAACATAAAGCCTGATCTAGGCTGTTCAGTGTCTAACTCTTTAAGGAGTATTCTATAAACTCTGAATTGTTTTAAATTGAAATCCGAATAGCAACATTTAGGCAAAAATACCTTATTTGGAATTAGCTTAAATTTGCTATTCATTTAAACTTTTCCTTTTACATTTTAATTTTCAGCAGTTACAATTTTAGTGAATAAATCTCTGTGTGCCTATATGACCTTTATTCTACCCCAAACCTTTTTAATACAATAGCAAAAAAGGAAGAAAATGCATTTCAGCTCATTCTTTAAAGGGTACTTTAAGTACCATAACATTACAGCTCATTGTGGTTTTTGGGTGCTGTGCCAAGCCTTTGTTTAGTGGTTTGACAAACATTGGTGCCTTCCTAAAACCTGTTCTCTGTGCTCTGGCTTGTGTAATGTTTAATTTGTTGTAAATTTTAGATAGCTGTGCTCACCATCATGTTTGTCTTATGTTTAGTATACAGTACTTACAAGTTTCCATGTTTTTGTTTTCTTTCAGTTAATGTTCACAATGTGGCTGAGTTTAAAGCAATGATGGCTTCTTCCGGTAAGGTCTGCCATCATTCCATGATGACTGGAAATTTGACTACTGGAGAATTGGCTCTGGAGCCTTTAATTACATGCAAACTGTGTCTGTGTGAGCACTCTCTGGACATGATGACAACCCTTCAAGAATGCAGCTGCATTTTCTGCACCACGGTGAGAATTACGCTTTAAGAGTGCTTATAAAATATCTGTGTTAGAATAGCACTTAAGTAATTCTTACAAATTAGTAGACTTGTGTATTCAGTTTCAAATGAACTGATATTTATTCAAATTTTGGGCAATTGGCAGCTTGTCTAGATTCCGTAACTCTGATGTGCCATATGGACATATTGTGAACAATAGAAGAGCCGGTTTGTTTGTTTCATTATAACGCCCAAAAAACTAAATGATTATTGATGGATGGAAAAAAAGATGATTATTGGTTAGAAGACACACTCGATGATTTTATTCTCAGATCAATTGAGAAGTGACAAATAGGGGGGGGGGGAAGGGAGGAGCACTGAGATAAACACTAATTAACCCATTTTTGTGCTGTTTTTGTTTGTTGCAATTATTTTTCTGAATAAATTGCATGGACGAAAATAGACTGAGTTGAGCAGCCACATGGACGAATTTCGAACTACCACAAGTCTACAAATTAATATGGTTTTTATAATTTATTGTAACACTGTTTAGATTAAACTCGCTTGTCATGTGGATTTGACTATGGAAGCATTTAACAGTGAACTTACAATCACATTAAAATGTCATGGAAAAAAGTAATAAATGTTTCCATGGAAATAGAAAATACCTGTAAAGGTAACATCTTGTACGACTATTATACATGTCACGTGAATATACAAATATTTACAGATCATAGAAGAAAATATGGGCTTTAGCCTTGCAACATTAGTGTTGAAATTCGTTAAGCTTTCATTGTCAACAAAAACAACTGCTAACAAGTATGTTTTTGTTTGTTTTTTTGGCAGCATTACATTTGGAGAACAATATCGGGGTCTATGGGATTTAATAGATGTCAATCTAGAGTTTGGGATTAACCATAAATGAACTTGTGCAAGTGTAGTGAGATGCCTTAGACCTCCACAATGCTTGTTTTTATCAGATGTAGCGTATATCAACTAATGAGAAACGATAAGGAATGCTGTCAGAACCCCACTGGTATTTGTAAATTTTTCTAAAAATGTTAATTAAAAAAAAAAAAAAAATAATAATTATTTTTTTTTTTTTACTGCTTTGGAATTTCAGTGACCATGTCAACGACATTCTTACAAAGTTTTTATAAGTTCTCTATAATTTTGTCTTTATGAAAACTCAAAAGTGACTGTTAAATAATAAGATGAGCCAGGCATGAAACAAGTAGGTGTTTCTATAGCCAAATCCCTGGCTGCACTTTGCTGGTTTTATCTCAAACCTCATCTGCCCTAATGCTGTAACCTCCCTCTATAAATCCACTCTCTCCTCTCAACTAGACATCGTGGCAGAAAGCTTCCCCAATTACAACCCTGGCTCACCAAACTGACCTGATACCTCCAAAAATGTTCCAGAACTGCTGAACACTGCTGCAGAAAGTCTCACTCTGTGTCTAACTTCCTCCACTATAAATTTATGCTGCACTTCTACAATCTGGCTCTTTCTTCTGCAAAAGAAAATGACTTTAATACGCTCATAACCACACTCTCCCGCATACCCAAATGCCCAGTTAATGCTTTTAAAACATTTTTTTACAATTCTTTATTTTTGCAGTGCAAAGATAACTTTACAGGCTTATAAAGACATGGTTACATAAATAGAAAATGAGAATACTGCTTTGCCAACTATGTCATACAGGATTGTCACACTTTTTTTTATTTTTATAAAACATGCTTTATAAACAAGGTAAACTTCATGTCCTAGAGCATGAGGGTTATAAGAACAGATGCTAGTAGAGACAGTGAGATGTCAAGGACAGAGAGAAAATGCACAAGTTAAATACACATTTTCAAGTTGGTTGCTTAATAAATGCTTAATACGTATGCCAACCAAGGAAGCATTGTTATGATCTAACAGCGATCTGGTGTCTGACAGAGCAGTATGAGACATATAAACAGCCTTTAAGACCATTTGAACCCAGTAACCCATTAGCTTGGGGTTAAAGAAAGAAGTATTAAAGCGGGAGCATTGCCATATTTTGGAATCAATGTAGTGAGTGTCAACTCAACATATGCCCTTCAAGGGCAGCTTACAGTCCTGCTGGAACCATATTAGCTTGTCCCTTCTCCACATAAGTTATTCTAGGATGTTGGACCTCACCAGCAGCATGCAGTGTCTCAGCTGCGGTCCCTTAGGCCCGAGGACTTGTTGAATTCAGCCTTTCCTTTCAGGCGATATGGAGTCTTCCAGTGCTGTTGTGGAACTTTTGCTAAGGTTGCAACTGCCCTCTTCTTGATGGCTCCATTTGGTAGCCACTGAGGCAATCCACTTGTCAGCTTTTGGTGTGCAGGAGGCTTCATTCTTTTTTGCAGCTTTTTCCAGAATTGTGCAAAGGTGCAGTGTAGCTTAATGATGATGGAATCTCCATCGTCATGGAGCCCCAAGGTGCACGTGGATGCTGCTGATCTTGTGATCCCGTAAATTTGCCGATATTCAACGAATGAGCAGAGGGGCCACTGAGGTGTGGATTGGGATCACCCCCCACCATTCTGGGAGGTGGGGGAGGGGGGGGGGAGCAGGAGGATTGTGGTGGCATGGACTGCTTTTGAGCGCTTCACCTGTGTCATTGCCTGGCAGGATGAGGTAAGTTTTGAGCAAGTGCTGAACAGAGGCTCAGAGAGGCAAGAAACTCTAGATAATTGGTGGCTAAGACATGAGGTCTTACAAACTGCATCCAGTCGCCATGAAGGTCAGACACCCCACTCCCCCCATTTCATGCTTTAAACTCTCTTCTTCACCCTGTTGCTCCTCCTACCAATTTGACCGCCACAAACTTTGCAACTCACTTCACTGAGAAGATTTCTACAATCAGGGTAGAGATCTCTCCTCTCTCACTATCCCCTTCCAATATTTCCCTCAACCCCACTCCTTCTGTTCTATGCTCATTTGCACCCATTACAGCAGAAGAGATTTCTGTTCTGCTCAGGTTTTCCTGCCCCAACACCTGCTCTTTCGTATCTCATCCGCACTTTGACTCCTTTTCTTGCTCTGCCTCTCACTAAAATTTTCAATCTCTCCCTATCCTCTGGCATATTTCATCTACTCTTTAAACATGAAAACGTAACCCTGATTATGAAAAAGCCCAAACTTGATCCTAATTCCCCATCCAGCTACCGCCCTATCTCACTACTGCCCTTTGCCTCCAAGATCATTGAGAGAGTTGTGTATGCAATATTGACAGCTTCCTTGAATCCAACTCCCTGCTTGACCTGCTTCAATCTGAATTCCGCGCTTGTCACTCTGTTGAAACAGCTGTGACCAAAGTATCCAATGATCTTATCGCTGCAAAATCCCATGGCCAGTACTCTATCCTAATTCTCCTTGACCTTTTGCTGCTTTTGACACTGTTGACATCCATCCTATAGCGAACATCACAATCCCTTCCCCTATGGTTAAGTTACGCAAATCATGTTTAGGCTTGATTAGAAGTGTGATGATACAGCCTTAATATATTGTCCGTAGGTATTCTTTTTTCATAACTTGCAGCACTAAACTGCTCCACATAAATGCTAGGACTCCTCTTTGGTAGTGTACGCAGGATATACTGAGCTGATATTTGGTTACTATATGATATTCTATCCATCCAGTCTTCTGGCAATACTTTCATTAGTAATTACTCTATAGAGGACAATGAATAGCCATATCTTGTGAGACATCAAGGAAGAGACAACACCAGCTTCTTTCTTGGCAACTCTTAGAACTCAGACTCACTCTGACTCTGTTTATCTTGGTCTACAAGATACCGCTCTTTCCTGGTGCTCTTCCTACCTCTCCCAGCACTCTTTCAGTGTTTCATTCTCTGGCTCTGCCTCTTCTCCCCAAACCCTCTCTGTTGGTGTTCCCCAAGGGTCTGTCCTTTGTCCCCTATTGTTCTCGATTTATACTTGGTAAACTCTTTGGCTTCCAGTATCATTTCTCTATGGATGACATGCAAATCTACCTGTTTGTCATGAACGCACCCTACTTCAAGAGTCTGCGTGACATAGTTGTGGTGGTGAAAGGGTTAACGTATTTGTCTGGAAATAATGATAAAATCGCCCTTAACACCACCCACACTTAAGCATAATAATATAAATATTACTATTTTAATGCTGCCACCACCAAGACAATATATAAATAGGGTGCCTTGGTCCCTCAGGTAACTTAATACTAAAAACCCACCAAATAAAACTTACCACAATACCTATGCAATTGCAAAACACTCATTAATCAGTCTCTTCAGGTAGCATGATTCTTAGCAAGTCAAAGGCAGATCTTAATAAAGGAATATTTATTATGAGCAAAAAAAAAGTCACAGTGCATACATAAAATAGATGATAAATTATTTACACCAACAACAGATAAAAACAAAAGGGATCAAATAACAGAAGTCCTAATCACTTACTCAGGTTTTCAAAGTAAAACTTCTGCCAATTGGATCTCTGGCAAGGAAGATGGTGATTCACTCAAAATTAGATTTTGGCCCCAATCAAGTACAATACACACTTCAGTATCATTAGATATATACCCTGTGGATTACCAAACCTTGCCTAGAGGTGAAGATAAGGCGTACCTATAGTAACTATAAGTGACCACCCCCTTGTGTTCAAGACCAACATCAATCCAAATGGAAACATTTGGTTCTATCTCATCTTATGTACTTGCCACAGAAATAATAATTGCATCTATGAATTTGTTACCATTTTTCCATTCCATACATATGTCACACTCCGTACTTGTTACCCAATATAGCGAACATCACAATCCCTTCCCCTATGGTTAAGTTACGCAAATCATGTTTAGGCTTGATTAGAAGTGTGATGATACAGCCTTAATATATTGTCCGTAGGTATTCTTTTTTCATAACTTGCAGCACTAAACTGCTCCACATAAATGCTAGGACTCCTCTTTGGTAGTGTACGCAGGATATACTGAGCTGATATTTGGTTACTATATGATATTCTATCCATCCAGTCTTCTGGCAATACTTTCATTAGTAATTACTCTATAGAGGACAATGAATAGCCATATCTTGTGAGACATCAAGGAAGAGACAACACCAGCTTCTTTCTTGGCAACTCTTAGAACTCAGACTCACTCTGACTCTGTTTATTGTATCCCGCTCCAGCTTACAAAGATAACAGCATACAGTAAAATAAACATTACACAAAACATTTACCAATGGCAATACAGAACAGATCACAGGGAAAGAACTACAAAGCAACAAAGTGATTCCTTACACTAGTTACCACCTCCCCCTGTGCCAACACACCATGACAACAAAAGGTTATCTTGATTGGACCCACTGTCCCTTCAGAGCAATCTCTGGTTACATCAACACAGCCCTTTGCTGTAGTAGATAGACTTACTGGCTCCCACAGCAGGTGGTCACTCATTCTGTGGGTTAACTTGATTAACCGACAGAATACATTTCACACCTAACTATACTTAATAGTTTATAGAGCTTCCCCCCCCCCACACACACACACTTTGTTGACCCACAGCTGCATATACAGACACACACACTGCTCTGTGTTTAATTCAGGTACACAATACAGTGATATCAAGATACATGGAAAACTGTCACAAAAAAGGCACCGCGGGACAAACAAATCAGGCCATCCATCTCAAGAAGATTGTGCTTGTCTCATTCTAAATATAATAAAAATAAGGCTTAATTATTAATCTGTGGGTAAGTATTAATGTTTCTTTTGGATATGATACTGGAACACAAGGCTACTAGCCATTAACATAACAAAGAAACCCTATCTAAGAGGGAATCTAGACATATGGCAAATTAGAGAGTTGCTTTATATTTAAACCAGACTTCCAGGCCACTTATGTGTGACTTCTCACACCTCACAGAGTAGCTCTGTTAGGGTCTCCGCTTCATACAATCAAATTAAAACCTTTTTGGAATTGAAGATACCACCTCTACCAAGCAGGCAGTTCACCCATGCACTACACAAATTACAATAAATTACAATATTCCATAGTGCAACAATGAATTATGTACCCTTGCCGTGACATCTATCATCCCCTGATTTCTCACAACCCCTCCTGACTCGTGTCTCTGACTACCTCTCTGCTGTTTCCAACTAGATGGCTGCTCATTTCCTTAAACTTAACCTGTCCAAAACAGAACTTCTGGTCTTCCATCCCTCAAGTGTTGCTACTCCCTTGTCTGTTTCCTTCCAAGTCAATGGCGCTACAATCAGCTCTACATCAATTTAAGATCCTGCTATTTGCTTACAAATCTCAGTGATACGCTGACCTACCTATCCTCACTAATACACAAATATGTTCCATATAGGTTTGGACGCTCTGCTGAAGACCTACTTCTAACCTCTATTCATACTCCTACCTATATATCCTCACTAATACACAAATATGTTCCATCTAGGCATGTACGCTCTGCCGAAGACCTACTTCTAACCTCTATTCATACTCCTACCTCTGATGTTCACCTTAAAGACTTCTCTAGGGTTGCACCATTCCTAGAAAACGCCCTTCCCCTCTCTATTAGACTTTCACCCAGTCTCCATTCCTTCAAAAAAAATATTTGAAAGCTTATTTCAGGAAACAGCTTTCCCTCCCCATACCCTGATTCCTCTTCTGCAACTTTCATCAAAACAAAACACTATGCCCTCAGTGAATACTATCTTAACAAACTACTTTTCTCCCCTGCTCTTACCTTTTGTGTCACTATACCCCACTCCCTCTAGCTCATTAAGCAGGGCCCTCAATCGCTCTGTTCCTTTGTGTCCAACTTGTCTGGTTACAAATACATGTCTGTTTGTCCACCTATTGTACAGCGCCGGAGAATTTGTTGGCGCTTTATAAATAATAATAATATATGTATATTAAATATATTTGCCTTTTCTAGTTTTTCTTTTAATTCACATTGAAGGGCTTATGCACTTATAACATCTGCTGGGTTTCTACAAATGCTGCAAGCTAATAGAATATACAGAATGTACATACTTGATAATTAATTACTCAGCAATAATAACTCTTTTTGTGTGTGGAATTCAGAGTTATGTGTGAGACACCTTGAATGCAAGACCAGACTTGAGAAATAAATGTTGTTTTTTTATTTATTTTTTTAAAATGTTATCATAATTTTTTTTCTGATTTTAAAATTGCAAAGTATAAATTTATATGCCTACATAGGAGATCATTTTTTTTGTTTTTAAATAGTTTTTATTTAGAAATGCCATTTGGGGTCATACATTCTACTAGCTGCGAAAATAGGGGTTTGGTTGCCTACGAAGAGATGTAGCAAGTCAACATTATGCACTACCGTCTTGAGGAGCCTTCGCAGAGGCCCAGAACAACAATAATAAGAGACAAATCGTAAATATATTTATAAAATCTTGCGGCAAAGACATTCAAGGAAGCTTGTAATGACTCGTCATTATATACGTGAACCAGCAACATAAGCCTGTGTTCGGAAACAGAGGCGAGAAAATCGTATCTTACACATGAGACTATCTTGTAGTGTAGCGGGATAGTGGCTAGAGCAGGTGTTATTGCTAGGTATGTGACTTGTATGGTATATGGGTCCCGAATTAACAGTACATCAAGCAGTTGGATCAAAAACGTGTAATAAAATAAAGAAGCAAAATAATCATCCTTACAGTTAAAATTAACAATTGAGATAATGGATGACCATAGCAGTAGTGATATTAATAAGGCTATATTCGCTAGAGTGTATTATTGCGATCCCCGTATTTCCCTATTAGTTAGGCAGACAAGTAAAAATATGTGCTGTTTGCAGTTAAGGAAGGCAAAACCGGTTTCATACCGTGTAGAGATTTGCCAACAGACAGGCTAGCCCCATGTAGGTAGATTATACGAACTGTGGTTAAAGGCAAATCTTGTAGTGAGTGAAAATATATCATAGTGTTACGATATTGCTGTTATGCTCACCAAATCATTATGTAGGCAGGAATACATATATAGAACAGAATAAAGTCTAACAGTATTACAGCATAATATATGTTACGCATACTTAAAATCTCAAAGGCATTAGATGATGTCATAAACAAAAATAAAATGAAATCAAGTGCCCCCAGATCAAGAGACATGCAGTATGTAGCAGGGTTTTTTGGCCAGAGTGTAAAACAAAACAAAACGGCACCTTTATAGTGGCAGACCCCCTGTGAAACAGGCGGTTTAGAGAAAAAGGAGTGAGGCCTATTACGTGAAGACCCTCTTTTGGGGGTCTGGGAGTGTTTCCCAAAATCCCCAGGGACCTTGGACCAAGCACGTTCAGGCAGACATTATGGGAATGTCTAAAATTAATTTACAAAATAAACAAAAAAACACAAAACAAGAAGAAGAAGCATACTTTTCATTGCCACTCTGACCAAGGGACCCTCTTCCCCCTTAGAAAGCAAAACCTCAGAATGATATTGGACAGGTACACTGGTGTATCAGGGCCATCTACAGTGTTGACGCATAATGTCACCCTCATGGCATTTAGCCCTCCCAGGTCCCCAAGCCAATCTCTGACCCCTACCGGTGCAGTCCATGGCACAGTGGGCACTCAGCAATTGACACCGTCCACTGGACCCCCCCATCTAGAATCTGTAGACTGCTCTTCTCCTGCACCTCCTCTGTGCCACTTCAGCTCCAGTCAGGCATGTATCATCTCAAGTCTAAAGGTATAGCTAGCAAGAGTGGCTCAGTTAGGTGGGATGCGGCAATTTGTTTGTATGCAAGTTTCGTTATGCACTTTTGTATTCCATCATGCTGGCATTATGTGTGTTTGTTGTATTTTTTTTTTTTAAATGGCATCAAATTGTGCTTATGACTTTTATGTTTTTAGAAAACTCCCTTATAAACAAAATAGCTGGCTGGAAACACAGTGAGATGCAGATTTTTTTTTCCCCCCAGTTGATCTATTTCTGGTTTAAAATTTGTAATTCCTATGACAAAATCGAGTTTGGTGAAGAATCATGTAGGTTATTTTTGCATGATATGTAGACTTGCATAATACTCACTGTGCTTTTCTAGATTAGAACGTGAACACATACTGAACTCGTAGCGATTTTGTGATGGTTGAACATCACTGTGTTAAAACATACTTGACATCCTAGTAGTTATTGATGAAAAGAGAACATTGAGTTGAAAAACCACAATGACATTGAATTAGCTTGCTCTTAGCATGCACTTCAAATGTCCTTATTTAATACATCTTGACACAGCATGAAATACGCTCGGTATTGATTGACAAAGAACATTTAGGGAAATTGATGGCTTTTCTTTAACTTGGATCATATATTATTTGATGTTGGTGAAGAAGGGTATTCAATAAATCGATTCAATGTTGCTTTGTTTTGTGTCATTAAGCATGGTTGCAACTCCCAGTACTTCACCTAATGTGAGCCACAATTCTGATGTCAGCAACTTTATATTTGTTGCAGACTTCATGTTGACCGAGCATGATGGGAATTTCATCCATAGTTGCCAGGAAGCTACAGCTTTTCTTTAGTTTTTCTTAACATCTGTCCCCAAACAGCATGCTTAAAGTTGTACAAAATAAGATGCATTTTCATAAAGTAATTATGGCCTCTTCCGAATTGAATTGGTAGATGATACCAATGTATTGTTCTTTGTTAAAATGTTAACAATGTGAAGACTTAAATTCTGTTAAAACTCCAATGCATACGTACTTTGTGATGTGTGGGGCATATTCTAGTTAGTATATTCATGTAGGTTGGGTGGTCTGGCTTTCCTTAGTGTCCTTTTAAGCTCTGTGAGGTAGATAATTCTGTTTAATATACTGTAGTAAGCATACACTTTACAGACTATTGGGGGGATTAGTAAATCAAGTTGAGTCTTTGACACTGTTGTGTCTGAACATCAAAACAAAGGTTAAATAAGTGCCCTTATAAGTAATTTCCAATTCTGCTGTGAAAAAAACATTCAAAAACACATTGACTTGAAAGCGGTAACTAGGTTTCTCCTAGGAACAAAAATGCTCTGCCCAAAATGCATCCGTACCTTTTTTATTTATTTATTTTTATTTTTATTTTTATTTTTTTTCCAATACAAATGGATGGAATCTGATCAAAAAGGCCTGTCTATGCCAATAAGACTTCTTGTTTATTTTTAATATGAAGAACATTTTCCTTTGTACTGTAGCAATAGTAAAGCTGTCTGAAGGTATCACATTCTCCTGCTGTACTATGTGCACTGTTTGTGACCAAGTGACTTGTTTTGTGTCCCCTATTTAGTGCCTCAAGCAGTATGTGCAGTTGGCAGTTCGTGAAGGATTTGGTTCCCCAATCACTTGTCCAGACATGGTCTGCCCAAATCATGGTGTCCTTCAGGAAGCCGAGGTAATGAAATCTTTAATACTTTATACTTTTTTCCTTTTTTTTTTTTTTTTTAAATCAGTAACTTTCTTTTTACAAAGTTACTTTTTTTTTTTTTAGCTGTTCTGCTTTCCACTAATAAGCACCTGGTACCAATCTTTGCTGGGTAAGCCACAAGCAATAGATTTCTTGTTCCCAACTCCCCCTCCCCTCCCAAGCTGCTTTAAGGTAATGTTTACTTTGTATCAGTCCGTTCAAGTGTACAATATTTCACTGTACAGCTAAATATTCCATTCCTTCTACATTTATGAACTATTAAACCAGGCTTGACATACCCTTTACTGCTGTTTCATAATTGTGTGCTCTGTTTTTTTCTGTAGACTCTCATTTCTGTGGTTTGTACAGGCATGAGTGCTTTATTCAGTGGTATTTATATGAAGTAACATGGAGTGCCTGGGGCCATTTTAGTCTTGGTTGAATAATATCACAACAGCATGAAATGTGTGTGACTTGTTAAGAGGGAGGGTCAGACATGTATGTAAAACATATGGAATGTGCTTGTGTTTCCATTAACTGCAGCAATATACTTACGAGTAGGGACCTCAAACTCTGGACCACCAGATGTTGACCTACAATGCCCAGAATTCTGTGAATGCAATAGATGACTAAATAATCATGGTAGTTGTAGTTCAGCAACATATGGGACAGGGCAGAGCTTGAGATAATTGTTTTAGAGAATGTAGGTGCTTATACCCTAAACAAGAGGCTATGCTATTATGGCCTGAATTTTGTCTCCAATAATTTTCACTGACCACCATCTTCAATTTTGGGCAACTGAAGTTCCCATCAATTTTAGATATTTTTCTTTGGCTGATAGCATTAGCTCATGGCTCTTAGCCAATTAATGTCTCAGCTTGGTATAAGTTGGTATGATCATGTGTAGATTTTAATGCCCGGTTTACCATTTGGAGAATTTGCAGCTGTAAGAGAAATTTCTATAGACCTTCTTCCTTGTAGTAATTTAACACTAAGCAGACAGCGTGGCGTCTTACGGAAGAAAAGTATGGGTTAAAGCAAAATCAAAGGAACACTTCAAGCACCATAACACTACAGCTGGCTGCTGCTTGCTATAGGAGAATCAGAGGTGCCTGCTTAGGAGCTTTGATTAGTTCTCCTGAACTAAGCCCTGCATTGGAGGGCTAGCTCATTGGCTTAGAGCATCAGCTGATCATTTTTAGTCAAGGAACTAAGACCTGTATTCCTGGACGTTCTGACTATCCTTTAACTGTAGTGAAGCGGGCAGTGGCACCCAGGGGTCCCAGTCAATCCATTCAAGAATAGTTTTTTTGACTAATTTCAAAATGTGGAAGGTTCCAGGGCTCTCCTGGCGGCATAAACACTACAGAGTGTTGTAGTGATTATGGTTCTTGTAGTGTTACTTTAATTACCTTTACATTGGCAATGGACAAAGTGTGAGAAGTTTTAGTCCTGACAGGAAATCCTTCAAGCTTGCTATGTTATTCTGCAATAATTATGTGTGTATGTATAATTCCCCACTCTGGCGTCCTGAGAATCAGATGCCGGAGAGAGAGAGAGGTAAAGGGCATGAGCACGTCTAATGATGCAGTTATGCTATGATTGTTGGGGAGAGTTCCCTGGTGTCCCCAAAAGTTGGATAGCAGGGAACTAAGGCGGGACAGCTATATATTCTTTTTCCTGTACCCGGCCAGACTGAAAAGAAGTGCTCACTGAGTGTGCTACCAGAAGGTGTGGGGGGGGGGAGGTTGAAGGAAATAACACTATAGGACAGGGTTGGTGGAAGTAAAGAACACTATGGGACAGGGGAGGGAGGAAAGAACACTGTGGGACAGGGGAGGGGGAGGGAGCAAAGAACACTATGGGACAGAGGAGGGGGGAAAGAAAGAACACTACGGACAGGGGAGGGGGGTAGGAAAGAACACTATGGGGGGTTAAGAACACTAAAAAAGTGGAAGGGAGAGGAACATTAACAGGGGGCACTAAGGTACAGGGAAGAGAAAAGGAACACTGGGGGGCACTAAAAGAGAAGAGAGAAGGAACACTAAGAGGGGGTTGGGAGGAACATTAAGAGGAATGGGGGGGGCACTAAGAGACAGGTAAGGGGGGAAGAGGAACACTAAGGGACAGAGGAGGGAAGGGAAAAGGAACACTAAGGGACAGGGGAGGGAGGGAGGGAAGAAAAACACTAAGGGACAGGGAAGGGAGGGGACAGGAACACTAAGTGGAGAGGAGGAGAGAGGAACACTAATGGACAGGAAATGGAGAGTGGCACAGAGGGGGGCTTGAGTTGGGAGAAAGACACGCAGGGACATGAGGGGGAGAAAGTTCATAAAGGAGATGGGGTTGAAAGTGACACACAAAAGGGCCTGGGGTGGAAATACAAAGGGGGTGAAAGAGACACAGAAGTGCTGGAGAAGAGGAAGAAGAGACACAGAGGTGCTGGGGGAAAATAGAGGGGCTAGTGGTGAACGAGAAAGTCACAAAGGAGCTGGTAAGGAGTAAAAGACAAAGGGGCTGGGAGAGAAGGAGACACACAAAGGGGGGGTTGTAAGAGATACACAATGAAGGTGTAAAACACACAATGGTGAAAAATAGGTGCCAGAATCATCTTCGCCTGTGTACCCAAAAATCCTTGCACCGGCCCTATGTGTATGTATGCAGATTTAAATTTCTTTATGAAGAAGAAAATAGGGGATCAGTGCTCTCCAACTCCAATAAACACAAACAAGCAGCAAACCTAGATCAATGGGGCTCTCTCCCACATATTTATATGTTTACCTGCCTGTAACTATATTTTTATAGATTTTTAATAGCATAAATACTACTGGCGCTACGTTTCTCCCCTATTTCCACATACTGTTTAATTTCTCTATATCTTAATTAGGTTTGATTAGTTTTATTAAATTAGCCATGGCAAAAAGGCAATGGGAGATCATTACCTCTCCAGCTGTGAAAGAGCACAATATGACCCTTTGAAGCAATCCTAAAAGAAAGATGTATGCCTTTTATTGGCCAAGTCTCATGAGCATTGTAGATCCAAATAACACAATCTTGTAGTCCTTTTATAGACTTTAGTATATAGGATGCAGAGAACCATATGGGATGGATACTGCCAATTGATATTGCGCATTGGTGCTCAGTTTAGGTCTATATAACCGTTCCTAAATTCTTTTCGTGTGTTATCCGTAATTCACTATCATTTAGGGTGTAAGTTGCTTGTGCATTCTTTACCCAGAAGTACATTTCATTGCTGCCTTTTGTGCACAGGGTTTGTAATTCTGGCATATATACTGTGAAGTGGTAACTATCCATGTAAGTACAAATGTATTATTAAGTGTTCTTGCATAGCAAGACCACTTATTGTTATCTCACATATATATTATTATTCTTATTATAGCCAAATTTGCCACCCTAACTCCTCCCACAGTTTTTACACTACATAGACAAAAATTTACCAAAACGTGCAGATTGTTCCCGATCCGATTGCTATTACTTTGTGGAACGTTTCGCCGAATGGTTCACGGAATATCGTCGTTCTTGTGGCTAAATTTGTCCCATAGGAATGAATGGCAAAGCTAGAGTGGGAGCTGGCAAAAGCTGAAAAATCAGGACATGATTTCTAAACTGCCACCACTCCCTTATTTTCAGGCCCACCTACACAAATCTTATATCAAAACGTTCAGCTATCCCTGCTGCCACTAAACATGTCAACGGCTAAGCCGTAGTCCTGATAGTTTTCACAATATAATCATTTGTTTGCAGCTAACGCCGTCCATTGACATTCATTGAAACTTCACTCTACAAAGCTCAAATTTGAAGTGCAATTTCTAAACTGCGACTGTGCCTTCATTTTTAATACTTCAGAGACATACTATGCATCAAAATGTAGGTCTGGGTCTTGTGATTCTCACAATATAAAGCTCTTCGCTGTAGGATAGTTTATAGTTAAAATACGACCGTTTGAAGATGGCAACCGCCAAAATACTCTGACCTGTGGCAGGCTGCAGCAGCAAGTGATGTCATAGACAGGGCCTTTTGAACACCTGCTAATGTTTTTATAAATGTATGGTTTAATGTAACTGTGCAACAACGTTGCAATTAAATGTGCTATATAAATGATAACAGTTACTCCGCCCACTCCAGTTGTAGACTACTGGTGGAGGCAAGAACACTTCACACAATTTCCCTAGAAATTTTAGCTTTTCTAGTTAATTTAATTCTTTCTATTTCAGATTGCTTGTTTGGTCTCCATTGATCAGCTACACTTATATCAAAGGCTAAAACTTGAAAGAGGTATGTTTAAGACAACATTTGGTTTCATCCTTAAAGTGTTTGTAGAGATACAGGTCTTGCTCATATGAGGTGAAATTGTTAATTTGTGTATTGCAGTTTTTCACTGGGTTATTCATACTTATGGTACAAATTTGGCCAGATGTACAATATTCTTTCACAGTTACTGAAGTTCAACTGGATATATAATTCTCAAATGTATTCAGTCATATTTAGTTGGAATTCAGTTGTTTCAAAAAACACTTTAGTTGGTAGAATATGATGTCTTCATGGCGCAAATGCTATATAAAATAAATCATTCGCATATTTAACAAATAACAAATTTTACATGAATTAAAGCACCACTATAGGCACCCAGACCACTTCAGCTTAATGAAGTGGTCTGGGTGCCAGTTCCAGATAGGATTAACCCTTTTTTTTTTAATAAACATAGCAGTTTCAGAGAAACTGCTATGTTTACACTGAGGGTTAATCCAGCCTCTAAAGCCTCTAGTGGCTGTCTCATTGACAGCCGCTAGAGGCGCTTGCGTGCTTCTCACTGTGAAAATCACAGTGAGAAGACGCCAGCATCCATAGGAAAGCATTATGCCGCGCATGTGCATTCAGCCGATGACGTCGCTAGGAAGAAGGAGAGGAGGAGGAAAGCTCCCCGCCTGGCGCTGGAGAAAGGTAATATTTTAGCCCCTTCTTCTCCCCAGAGCCCGGTGGGAGGGGGACCCTGAGGGTGGGGGCACCCTCAGGGCACTATAGTGCCAGGAAAACGAGTATGTTTTCCTGGCACTATAGTGGTCTTTTAATTCTGGTAGCAGACAAATTTGCAGACAAAATGCTGCTGTAATGATTATAGAGTCTGGAGTACCTCCCACCCCATGTAACAAGTCAAACTGTTATAGAATGGTTCGACTTCTTACCTGGGGCCAGCTCCTGCCTCTACTACCTCAAAATACGATCAGACGAGCTAGCCATTGAGCTAACCCTTACAAGCAAGCCGTGAAGCTAAACCTCATTCGAGTTAACAGAAGATCCTGTTTAGGAGCTTCTGACTGTGTGGTAGGAGTAGTAAAGGTGGGGAGTGGCTCCCAGTGGAACCCAAGTAAAAAATGAAACTGTTCTAAAATTTGAGGGTGTTGGCACTCCTGGCACAATAGCTTCTGCAATGTGCTCTAGGGGTTATAATGCTTGGAGTTTTTCATAGAAAAAAAATAGTATTCTATACAAAATATTTTTTAAAATTATAATGCAATATACATTTTATGACCTAAATTTTGTTTTAATTATTGGGTTATAATGTACTGCTCTATGGATTTAACCCTTTCTCCATAGGAGTTATCTATACACTTCTTACCTACAACCCATTGCTTCTACATTTTTTTTTACCCCCTCTCTCCCATACTTTATTTACTTATTTTGGTATTGAAGTAATGTTTTGTTAATATTAATTTACGAGACTTTGTTTCAGATGCCCAGGCAATAGGAATTTGGAACATTAGGCACATGTTTAAAGAAATAATTTTGTACCTTGGTGTTGACATATGAAGGTGAAGCAGAAATAAATTCCTCAAAACACATTATTTGCTTCTCATATCTTTTTCCAATAGTTTTTCCTCTTTAAACTCACACTCAAAGATGCAAATTTGTTCCCAATGATCAAAAAAAACGTCTAGTATTGCATGTGTGAGTTAATTATCAACCCAAAACAAGCCAAGTACATCAATAACCAGATCAGCTCAATGTTTACAAATGTTGTGAGTGTTCCATAACATCGTATTGTGTTTGGCCTACTGAACAAGAGACCTGCCAACTTTCACCTTTCTGATGTTTTGTTCCTTAAAGGGGCAGCTCCTCCTGCTCTCTGTTTTCATGTTAATTAGTTGCATAAGTACATGTTTTTCCGTAAGAAAGGAGTGTCAGTTAAATACTGTTCATGCAATATAATTATTTTGTGTGTGTGTGTGTGTGTATGTATGTATATATATATATATATATATATATATATATATATATATATATATAATTTTCACCGTTTTTGTTTCAGAAGTCCATCTGGACCCTTGCAGAACATGGTGCCCTGCCGCAGACTGCTATACTGTATGCCAGATGAAATCCAAAGACTCTGCTTTGCCAGTGCCAGTTGACTGCCCTGTTTGCCACCTACAATTTTGTTCTGCCTGCAAAAGCACATGGCAACTTCAGCATTTGTGTCAAAACAGTGAGCCAGTTGCTGTACCCCCTGAAAAAGAGTACGTACTGTTCTTTTTTTCTATGATGTAACCCATTGGTAACTGATATGCATCAAATATTCAATATGTGTAATTCTCCTGTCCTGTTTGTATATTGTCCAATCCATATCTTTGGTCAGTGTTGGCCAAAAGGTTGATTCATAACTAAAACTCCCATGAAACTTTATCAGCAGTACGGTTGAAGCAGCTGGGGGTCTCCGTACAGGCTACGGTCATTTTGTTGAGGCGAAGCCTTCAGCTTCCTATCAATGGATGCTCCCTGGTTATAAATATTTCAAAGTACAGTCTTATAGTCTTGTATAGTTCCAGGATGGAGCTAATTAAAATTCTTCCAGTAGTGTGCTGCCTGCTAGGAATTATCTTTAAAAACAGCATGGAGTAATCATTTACTGCTTGTAGACAGACACTAATTAAACTGCTTGCTTTGTGAAGCATTACATCAATAAATAAGTGGGGTTTTCGAAATGTCTTTGCGATAGTAAATAATATAGCCACCACGTAAGTGAAAGAAAAAAACCAACAAGCAAACATTGCATTGGGGGTCATATTGTGAAATCTTTGTCTTGTTCTTTCCCAATTATTATTGTATACTTATTTTTTTTGTAATTGATGTTTGATTCACGACATATACATTTAATGGAACTTGTCACTTATTGGGTGGCACTGGATATCATATCATGTTACAAGAGAACACTGAGAACTGACAACTACTCAAATAGCTTGTCATATGGTAGGTACCTGTTTGGGTATTGTTAGTTTAAGCTCACTTGTAGCATTGCAGAAAACATTTGCATGTCAGACAGATCACATCGAAATCCCAGATATGAAAAGCTGATAAGTTCCCTTTGCATGAATTGTTTTTGGCCTTGGTAGGCCTTTTCAGTCGGATGTGGCTGATATACTGTTGGCATAGTTAGCAAGGAGTCTAGGTTATCCTTTTGCCTTGGTCATAGACTAAAGACAGATTTGGGGGGGCGGGGTCTGGATGGACGTGGAGCACCTCGGCTCTTCGGTGAAACCCCTAATAACCAGCCTCAAACTACCCATTCTTACGTGCATAACCCCAAGCTGCTACCAGAAGACAAGGGGAACCCAAGCAGCAACCTCCGGTGCAATTATCAGCTCCCGTCCTGCCGGCGGCACGACTGATAGGATGATGGGTTCGCGGCCTGCTGTGAGGCTCTGGCGGGAAAAATGGCAGATCTCCCGTGCTTAGTCTGGTGGGACCTCTCCCACGCCTACTGAGGGCCCCGTTCTCCTCCCCCCATGGGCCCAGTTGGGTTATCCCGGTCCTCACCAGGGATACAGTGCTCAATCACAGCATCTGGGTAGTGGAGAAAGCAGCCTGGGACCGCATAGCAAAAACCAAGATGGCTGCCGTGTCTACCACAAGCTGGAGAGCTGAGGCTGTAGCAACTGAGCAACTGCTGGGTACCATCTGAAACCGGTTCCGATCAGACAACTGCACGCTGGCAACAAGCCGCAGACAAACAAAGCAATCCCCCCGCCCACCCCGACCGCCGGACAACTCCAAGGGTAACAACTCACCACGCAAACAGAGAGTCATTTCGGCTCACTACAGAGAGCATTGTCCACACAACCCGAGGTATTGCCCCCTACACTGTCACTGGTGGGTCTGTGGGGACTGTATCAGGACTCTGACCCGAACTATCCCTGTGGGGAGGAGGGACATGGGGCTCTATTCTCTGCCTGGGGTTGGTGCCGACAGTCACACAGGACTGGACACATCCATAACATGAGCTACACCAGACCCGATCCCAGCTAAGACACCGGCCGATCCAGCACAGCCACAGGACCGACTAAGCGGATGCCTACCACATATGCCCATGTTTGCAGCAGACTACTGTATATTCTTTATTTTATTATCTCATTAATAACTTAATTCTGTGTTTAATACAGTAGATGTTAACTCTGCAGTTCCCCACTGACAGCGCCTAAACCTCCTGAGCCTTCACATATACCCAACCTGGCAAGCCCAATGTCCCAAGGTCCCTTGGTGGTTAAACCACGCCATGTAATTACACGGTAGTACGTACCTACACTTAACCTATGTTGGACCTGTCCAACCTGCTAGTCAGTCACAAACCTAGAAAGTGGCATCACATGACACTTGATTTAGCACACTTGAAAATCCCAGGGGGCAGGTAGTTTAACCCAGTTCCCCTAATATCATCTACACAGCGAGTGTCATCCAGAGGAATCTTAGCATGTCCACTTAACTACTACTGTCTCACATATCCATGTCTGACTAGCCACGCAGGTCACCACACTAACTGTACACATCTCTCGTGATATCTATTAGGCTAACCCATGTCTGTGCTACCCTGTTTTGCCTAACACTTGTTTGAATGCCTTGACGACTTCTCTGATAAGCCTGTTTAATTTCTTTTGCATAAACAAAAAAAAAAAGGCTCAACGAATCACCTTTACCACTATGTCACCGTATTAACTCATGTAACCTGTTAAATGTCATAACCTCACGATGTACCTGACAATGCGCTTCACAAATAAAGAATAATAAAAAAAATAAAGACAGATTTGGCCCCTGTGAAACTGCCTGGTCAGCAAAATGTACATTGGGACTCTTTGACTTTCTGCGATGTATTGTCTTTTCCTTACCAATTTTTGATTTTGGTTAGCTTTTTCTAATAGTTATGTAAATGGCACCTTCTTTTTACAACTGGAATTGATGCTCAAGACTATATTGAGAGGGCTAACTATGGCAGTTTAGTTACCCTGTTCTACGCAGATAGTTTGAGAGCAAGGTGCCCTCAAAAGCATTTTAAGTAACAGATATGCTACTTCTTGCATAGCTATATCTCTCCTTTATAAATGTAAAAAATACATTTTATAACCTTCTGTGATTTTTATGGGTGAATATTTTGGAATCTTTTGGGGGATAGTTTAGGCATTTTTACAGCATTACTGTTTAGTACAACCCTGTGTCACTCTAGTACCCTTTTTGCAACAGTACAATAAACTACTTTGACTATCATCACTTTCCTGCTTAAGTGTTTGTAAACCTTATACCTTTTTAAGTGATTGTAGTTGCTATTCTCCCTCCAATAATAAATATCATATACATGTTAACTGGAATTAATCACAATGGAAAAGTATATGTTGGACACGAAAATTAACTTGGAGTTGCCTAAAAGTAGGCTTTTTTTTAAGTAGGAGGTAAAAACCAGGAGTTTCCTTGACAAACTGCAAAATTGTGGACAGGGGTTGGTATGTTTGCTACTTAGTAAATATATTTAATTTGAAAGGGGTAAAAAGCAGTTTGCTTTTTCCCAGTGTGATGTTGCAGCTGAGTTAACTAGTAGAGTGGTCTCTAAATTTCTACCTGTGTGGGTTTTTGTATACCTTTATGATCCCACAACTGACGCACTGAACTTGCTCACTTGGAGTTGCTTAAAAGTAGTCTTTTAAGTAGGAGTTTAAACCAACAAGATAATTGTTACCTGTAGTTTCTGGAAACTGTGGAAATGGGTGTTGGCAAGATTGAAGGTTTGACTCATCGGACATCTTGTAACATGTATCCGTCCAGGGTCTACACCTCTGTGACATGTGTGAGTAGCATGTATCAGAAATCTGGAGAAGCAAATTGCAACATTGAGACAGATTGACAATATGGAAAAGCGTTTTCTACTCACTGAGTAGAGTTTAGTGGGTGATAAGACAGCTGGGTAACTGTGTCACATGATAGCTGGGGGGCGAGGGATGAGGAAAGGTTTAGCTAGTACTGACTTTGTGCAGCCTAACAGATTTGCCCATTTGAGTGAAGATGTTAGAAGCATAGTCTGAGGAGTAGCGGTACTTGAGGAAACTGTTCCTTCTAATAGTCGAGCGAAAGGTACCTCTAGTATTAAGAGAATACGTGTGGTAATCTGCTACAATAGAAAGGCAGTGGGAGATTAGGCGTGGCTAAAGTCATGGTGTAGGAAGAAGAGTTTTGAATTTTTAGAGCACTGAGCTGATTTTGCACTTGGATACAATCTTTATAGTCGTGATGGATTGCATCTAAACAGAAGAGGGTCTACTGTGCTGAGTGAAAGGATGGATAGAAGGTTGGAGGAGTTTTTAAACTAGTGGTAGGGGGGAAGGGACCTAGTTATCTACAAAATGGACATAGGACTGAAAGTAGATGGACTTTATCTTAGCACAAGGGGGTGGAGCCGAGGGGAGGGGGCAAAATCAGAACAGAGGAGGTATGTATAATAGTAATAAAAATTCAGGAGCCCAAATAACACTAATATGACATGATGAGCATAACAGAAACCTGGTGGGATGAGATGCATAATTGGGCAGGTAACTTAAATGGTCACACATTATTTAGGAAGGATAGAAAAAACAGGAAAGGTGGTAGGGTATTTTTGTATGTCAACCATGAGTTAAAGCCAAATATTAGGCAAGTGGAATGTGGTGAACAAAATGTGGAAACTTTATGGGTAGATATCTGCTTGAGGCAAAAGAATGGAAATCCGTTATTGATTGGAGTGGCGAAAGTAACCTAACCACATGTTTTTGGAGGGGCCTGTTTGCCAGCCTCCTGCTTCAGGACTATGGGCCACCCGTGAGCTTGTTAAGCCCTATCATCACCTCTTAATGATTCTAGCTGCAGTGTTCTAATTGTTCCTGTGGGTGGCCGCAGTTGGCATGGTCGACCACGAGGTGGTGGACATCTTGTTCCCACGAATGCAGGCAGCAGTGTTTGGTCGTCGAGTTCATGGAACTGTTTTCGGTCACTGAAACTCCTGAACATATATAGCCTATGTTCGGTATTTTACATCCTCGAAGAGCGCTGTTCGGTGGGATCGTTCATCTGAATGAGGTATGAATATTGACTATGTTCGGTATTTTGTTCGTTTGGAAACTACCAAACTAGACCGACCACAAGCCCTTGTTCTCTGAAACTGTTTTGGGCATGGGACCATGCGTGAGGTCAGTCAAATTATGACTTCCAGGAAATTCCTGAACCCCTGAACTGATCTGGGTGATTTTTGGATATGTTGGTCACCCAGATCAGGGCTATCAGGGGATGTAACTTTTATGGGGGTTATAATGGTTTTTAAGGTACTTTTGGGGTGTGAAATTTATGTTTTGTTGTGTCTGGAGATAATTGAGCTTAGTTCAGTTCATGACTCAATTATCTCCCAGGCACAGGGGAGGGATTGTCTTATTATGTATGGGAGTGTCCTGGATCTGAGAGCCAATGTAATTGTGTACTTGTTTCTACTGTGGTTTACTCTCAGGCAGGCGTGTACCTAGAGCATTTGGCACCCGGGGCGGGTCCTGTGCTTGGCACCCCCTTGCCCTCTGTAACGGATCGCCTGGCACCCCGACTGGGTACCTCCGTTAAAGGATGCTCCTAGCGCTTCCTGAGGACTCCAAGCACTGCAGCAGACACCACAACCACCGAACCGGAGAAGCATATGAATCCTCTCAAGCATATGAATGCTGTAGACAGTTGAATAGGAACCATACGAATAGGTTTACTCTCCTAGCAGTCAAACTGGAACAGCATACAATAAATCCTTCCCCCAATAATGAGACGACACTTCACTTTGAGGGTTAAAACAGGAACTCCCTGTACTGTCACATACAGTCTCTTTTATTCCCAATCCACAAACATAGTACAGCCCACAGGGCGTTACAAAACAACCAATCACATCACAGTTACATCCCACATATTCCCTCCCCTTATCCTGAGAGGAAACTCAATTATACATACAGTTAAAACATACTTTCTACCCAACTTTCATAACTCCAAAACCATACATCACATTCACATAAAATTACATATTCACAATCAATCCATTCAGGGGAACAACATATTCAAAAATGGCACAAATCAGACAAGGGGTTCAAAAGTTAGTAAAAGTCCTTTGTGACTAAATGAAGCATGGCTTTCTGGCCCAAACCAGTTTCAGAGTCTTCTATCCTGGAGATAAGTAATTCATTCCTCCCAGGACAGACACAAGACTCCATTAACATGGTTGCAAAAAGACACAAAACACTTTAAAATACATAAAGTCATTTACAAAAACACAGTTGTATCACATATCCCCAGATAGCTGGGATCTGAGCGCACAAAACTACCAAATAGCGCTCAGATCCTATTCACACAGTTCAATTGCCATGGAGCCGAAGTCTTTAACTACACGAATGGGCTCCATGGCATAGCTATCTGGGTTAATACCTTCACATAAAGTCTGGTCCATAGTCCAAAGGCAAGAGGCGGGCAAGCAGCCCCCTCCAAAGACACGTGGCGAGGCCGGTTTCGCCACATTTCTCCCCTTTACCATCCAGACTAACAGGGTATCTGACCTCCTGCCGGTCAGTGCCCTGGTTAGTCCAGCAACCCACCCACGAAGCACAAACAGCAATGCAGCCCACCCACAATAACTGGTTACTACACCTGGATAAAATAGCAACTTGTCCATGTCCAGGTGCCTCACCACGGCTGTGCGGGGGGCTGGTAGACTGCCTTGGTGGGTTGCTGAGTGGGCAGAGACCAGCGGTACTCTGCCCGGGTGCCAGTGCTACCACTGAAGTAGCCTGGTTGGAGCCTGGTTGTGGGAGGGGGAGACCGACTGTCTCTCCTCTGGATACACTGCTCTGTGGCTGGGGGACAGGACCGACCGTCCCTACCCCTGGTGCTGCAAGTGCAGAGACTACGGTCCCATCTGCATAGTTGTGGGGCTTAACATCTCCCCTTGGTGGGTTAGGCTGCCGCTGGAGAGAGGGTGTAACAAGCTCCTCTCTCTGAACTGTAGACTGCCGCTGGGGAGAGGGGGTAACCTGCTCCTCTCCCTGACACTCTCTTTGCTGGTGGAGAGGGGGACCAACTGTCTCCCCTTTCAATATTTTGTCCTGCGGCTGGGGTGAAAGACAGACTGTCTCCCCTTCCTGCAGGACACACTGCCGCTGGGGAGGAAGGACTGCACCTTCCGTTCCCTGGGAAAAAGACTGCCGCTGGGGAGGAAGGACCGCACCTTCAGCTCCCTGGGACTCACACTGGCGCTGGGGAGGAATGACTGCACCTTTGGCTCCCTGGAACTCACACTGTTGCTGGGGAGGAAGGACAGCACCTTCGGCTCCCTGGAACTCACACTGCCGCTGGGGAGGAAGGACGACCCCTTCGGCTCCCTGGGACTCACACTGCCGCTGGGGAGGAAGGACGGCACCTTCTGCTCCCTGGGGTACACACTGCCGCTGGGGATCTGGGCCGACCACCCAGCATCCCTGTAGGGCCGGTAGAGAGACCGCCGTCCCATCTCCACCTGCCATCTGTGGGTCTTCCCAGGACCAGTCTGTGAGGTCCCTCAACATTTGCGAGTAAGGACCACCTGCTTCCGCACCTGGCAACTCCGGCTGCTGCTGGGGATCTGGGCCGGTCCCATCTCCACCTGCCTGTTGTGGTTCCTCACAGGACCAGTCTATGAGGACCCCTACTTCGGGTTCCTGCGGCCGCCTCAGGGGGAGACGGCTAGCCTCCTCGGATGCAGCCTCTACTCGGCTGCTGTAACACTCCTTCCGCTGAGCATACTCTCTCTCTTTCGCCAGCCGGAATTCTCGGGCCAGCCTTGTGTTTCGCTCGGCCGTGACCTGGTTCCAGATCACCCGGCGTACCTCCATGGGTAAATCATCCCCATACTGGGCCACTCGCTGCCTCACCTCGGCCATCCAATCATCGCCAGAGCCTTCCATACTTGTCTGCTCCAAGTCGCTGGATACCTCTGCTCCCAGGGGCGCTGCACGTGTGCTAGCGTTGCCCTCAATTTGTAACTCCAAGCGAACTGTGTCTCTGAGCTGCTTTACCTCGCACTAGGACGCCATCCCACCGCTGCCACCAATGTAACGGATCACCTGGCACCCCGACTGGGTACCTCCGTTGAAAGGATGCTCCTAGCGCTTCCTGAGGACTCCAAGCACTGCAGCAGACACCACAACCACTGAACCGGAGAAGCATACGAATGCTCTCAAGCATATGAATGCTGTGGAGCAGTTGAATAGGAACCATACGAATAGGTTTACTCTCTAGCAGTCAAACTGGAACAGCATACAATAAATCCCTTCCCAATAATGGGGGCGACACTTCGCACAGGGTTAAAACAAGGAACTCCCTGTACTGTCACATACAGTCTCTTTTATTCCCAATCCACAAACATAGTACAGCCCACAGAGATTTTCACAAAACAACCAATCATATCACAGTTACATCCCACATATTCCCTCCCCTTATCCTGAGAGGAAACTCAATTATACAAACAGTTAAAACATACTTTCTACCCAGCTTTCATAACTCCAAAACCATACATCACATTCACATAAAATTACATATTCTCAATCAATCCATTCAGGGGAACAACATATTCAAAAATGGCACAAATCAGACAAGGGGTTCAAAAGTTAGTAAAAAGTCCTTTGTGACTAAATGAAGCATGGCTCTCTGGCCCAAACCAGTTTCAGAGTCTTCTATCCTGGAGATAAGTAATTCAATTATCTCCCAGGATAGACACAAGACTCCATTAAGCACAGACACAAAACACTTTAAAATACATAAAGTCCACATTTACACACTAAAAACACAGAGACATGTCTCACATATCCCCAGATAGCGCTGGGATCTGGCGCTTCAAAACAAATGGCGCTCAGATCCCTGTCTGATTCAATTGCCATGGGCGAAGTCTTCAACTACGGGCTCCATGGCATAATATCTGGGTTAATACCTTCACAAGTCGGTCCATAGTCAAAGGAAGAACGGCAGCCCCTCCAAAGACGATGGCGAGGCGGTTTTAGCCACACCCCCCCCAAAAAAAACAACAACAAACCTGTAAATTTTTTAAAATGTTTTCTTTTTTTTACAATTTGTAAACTTTGCAAAACCGCTGTCATCCCCTCCTACAAAACCCTTGACCTTCCCCGCCCCTCCTTTAAAACCCCTGTCCTGCCCACTTCTACAAATCCTGTACTGCCCCCCATCTACAAAACCCCCGCAACCCCCTTTCCACAAATCCCCTGCTTATCCCCCCTTATAAAGACTCCTGTCCCAATACAAAACCCCTGCCCCCTTTTACAAAATCCCTGCAGACCCACACACACATTTATAGGCAGACAGTCACACACACCGTTACAGGCATACAGTCACACACCGTTACAGGCAGACAGTCACACGCAGACAGTCATGCACACAGTTACAGGCAGACAGTCACATTTACATTGACACACACGGCAGCAGCAGACAGTCACAAGCACACAGTCACAGACAGATAATCATACACACGGTTACAGGCAAAATCAAACAGTCACAGGCAGACAGTCACACATACATAGTCACATGCAGTCACACACACAGTTATAGGCAGACAGTTACACACACAGTCAGTTACAGGTAGTCACACACAGTCATAGCCAGACAGTCACACACACTGTTACAGACAGACAGTCACATATATAGTCACTCAGACACAGTCACAAGCAGAGAGTTACACACACACTTACAGGCAGATGCATACACACATACGTACACACAAAGTTACAGGCAGACAGTTTTACACACACACATACATACACACACATAGTTACAGACCGTTTTACACACACACACACACACACACATACATACACACACACAGTTACAGACAGTTACACACACACACACACACACACACACAGTTACAGACAGTTTTACACACACACACACTCACATACATACACACACACACACACACAGTTACAGACAGTTTTACACACACACATACATACACACACACAGAGTTACAGACAGTTTTACACACACACACACACACACACACATACTGTCACACACTATTACTTACAGACAGTGGGCTGGAGGAGGACTGAATTCCCTGAAGCCTGTGGAGAGAGACAGCAGTAACCGGTAAGGGCCATATCAAGCCCCGCCCCCGCTGCCGGTTTGGCTCCGCCCTGATTTTTTATTAGCTCCGCCCCCAATTTACTTCCATGCGGACAGTTCAGTTGCTCTTAGTGTGTGAGCTGTTCTGGCCGCACAGCACCCTAACTGTCATGGAGCACTGTGCGGCCACAGCTCACACAGCCCCCTCCAGCTCCCAGGCCCTAGTGGCACCTGGGGCAGACCGCTCCCTCCGCCGAGGACTTGCATGTAAGGCCAGTTGTGGCTACCATTAAAGGAGTTCCTCTTCACCCTCAACATAGAGCCTCGTCTCATGTGTGGTGGGGACAGCTGTATTCATTCTGGGGATTGCTATATCACTATACTCCCCTAGGATTATAATCACATGCTCTTTTAAGAGTATATTGCTACACCTTCTTGGAGGAGAGGTCTACCCACTGGAAGCTGGATCCTGGGCTTGGGTCCAGGGTGGGTGGAGGACAGTGAGACCCCAACCAAGCTGTAACGCTGGAAGTGGGGACTACAGTGCTGATGGTGTCTGGTGCTGTGCTTGTGGTACTCGGTAAGCACTAAACAAGCACCGATTGGCAGATGCAACCGGTTGGGGTGCCAGGTGGTCCGCCACAGTTGGGATATGTTATAAACCACTTAATGTTCATATTGATGAGAAAGAAAAGCTATTAGAGCAAATTGGAAGAGCTGCACATCTGGGTAACACGTTAATGATTGGAGATTTTAATTACCCAGGTATAAATTGGGATGGTGGTACTAGTAGTAGAGCAAAGGAAATCAGGATTTTGAACCTGTTAAATGACAGAGTACAGAGAGTTGCCATTAATAGTATTTTTTTTAAGCCGGACAAAAGTGGTAAGTGGTGCCGCTCAGGGTCCTGTTCTGGGACCGCTTCTATTTAACATATTTCTAAATGACCTTGAAATGGGCATTGACGTTATAAAAATAGACATTAAAAGTCATGTTTCCGTGTTTGCATATAACCAGAAAAGGAGGGGTGCACTGAGCATGGGTCAGCAAACCCCAAACAATCTTTATGAATGAAAAAAAATCTCAGGGACTCACTGTGATCACTTCTGGGCAGTTTATTGCAAAGTTTCAACCTGAAACCAGGTCTTTATCAAGCTTGATAAAGACCTGGTATCAGGTCGAAACATTGCAATAAACTGCCTGGAAGTAATCAAAGTGAGTGTCAGTGTTTGCATATGACACAAAACTCTGTAAAGCAAGCATGTCAAACTAGTGGCCTGTGGGTGGGTGAGAGTGTGTGTTGTTCAGTGTTGCGATGGCCGCGGCTGGACAGTGGAGGACCTGGAGGTGTACGGAGGCACGCAGCGCCACGTCACGTGACGTCAACGTGCTTCACCTTCACAGGGTTTCAAGGAGTAGCGGGAGGATCCGCTTTGGCACAGGGTGCGGACGGCGCCATTGGATAGGATGGGATAGGCATCAGGCAATCCTAACTATAAGATAAGGCCAGGGACTAATGAAAGTATTTAGAAAATTGGGCAGACTAGATGGGCCGAATGGTTCTTATCTGCCGTCACATTCTATGTTTCTATGTTTCATTGGGGGTATACCAGAGGCTGGACTCTGGAGTCGCATACTGGCAGCTGCAATGTGAGGGGGAGTCCGCTTTTTGGCTAATTAAAAAAAAAAAAAAAAAATTTAAACAAGGGCTTTTAGTAGAAGGGGGAGACTGGGATTTAGTATAGAGGGGGGTACTCAGGTTTGGAGAGGGGGTGATGTTTTTTTGTACTGTACTTTTCAAAACAAACCTACCTTTCTATGAAAAAGTAAGTTTGTTTTTTTATTTTTCACATAAACTTAAACCTTGTTTATTTGGCCCGTGCTAGCCTTTGAGTTTGACATGCTTGCTGTAAAGTAATACAATCTGAGTAAAATATTAGATACAATGGGAGACAAATGGAATTAGATAGATTGGGGGACTAAGCACTCAAATTGAAGATTAAATTCAATATATAAAAGTCAAAGTTATGCACTTTGGGGTAAAGAATGCACAAGCAACTTACTCCCTAAACCGTAGTAAGATAACACAATAGAAGAATTTTAAAATTATTGACCACAGACTAGGCAACAATGTGCAATGTCAGTCAGAAGTTGCTAAGGCCAGTAAGGTATTTTTTTGTATAAAAGGGGAAATTAATTCTCAAGATGAAAATATAATTTTACCTCTTTATAAATCAATGGTAAGACCACACCTTGAATATGCTGTGCAATTTTGGTTTTAAAGAAGGAAATTATGGCACTAATAAAAAGTGCAGAAGTGGGCTACAAAATGAATAGAAGGAATGGAACATTTCAGTTATGAAGACAGGTTAACAAATGTCTGTTTAATTTAGGAAAACTCTGCCTCCGAGGATAAATGATAGCATTATACAAATATATTCGGGGCCAATACAAACCATTGTCTGAAATCGATTCATAAACAGGACTATATATAGGACACAAAGTCACACATTTAGACTGGAAGAAAGGAGATTTAGTATAAGGTAAAGGAAAGTGTTTTTTACAGTAAGAACAATAAGAATGTGGAATTATCTGCCTGAAGAGGTTGTTTTTATCAGTCTGTACAGATATTTAAACTGCAACTGGATAAATACTTGCAAAAACATAATATTCAAGTATATAATTTTTAATTTATGGGGTAATAGTTTCTTTATGTAAAGAGATCTGACTGCCATTCTGGGGTCAAGAAGGATTTTTTTTCTAGTTTGTTGCAAAATTTAAAAGTGATTCAAACTGGGCTTTTAGCCTTCTTTTGGATCAACAGCAAAAAAAATGAGAGAAAGGCTGAACCTGATGGAGGCACATCTCTTTTCAGCCTATGTAACTAAACTGCACCTTTAAGTTGTGCAAGAGCCTTCCACTATAAATGTTAAATATAAACAATACAATTTCCACAGCTGAGCATACAGGTGATACTCGAAAAATTTGAATATCGTGCAAACGTTCATTTATTTCAGTAATGCAACGTAAAAGGGGAAACTAATATATGAGATAGACGCATTACATGCAAAGCAAGATAGCTCAAGCTGTGATTTGTCATAAGTGCGATGATTATGGCTTACAGCTCATGAAAACCTCAAATCCACAATCTCAGTAAATTACATGCAATCAATAAAACAAGGAGTGTACATAGAACAATATCGGACCTCTGGAAAGTATAAGCATGCATATGGACTCAGTACTTGGTTTGGGCCCCTTTTGCAGCAATTACTGCCTCAATGCGGTTTGGCATGGAAGCTATCTGCCTGTGGCACTGCTGAGGTGTTATGGAAGACCAAGATGCTTCAATAGCGGCCTTCAGCTCTTCTGCATTGTTCGGTCTCATGTCTCTCATCTTTCTCTAGTCAATGCCCCATAAATTCTCTATGGGGTTCAGGTCAGGCGAGTTTGCTGGCCAATCAAGCACAGTAATCCCATGGTCATTGAACCAGGCTTTGGTGCTTTTGGCAGTGTGGGCAGGTGCCAAGTCCTGCTGGAAAATGAAGTCAGCGTCCCCATAAAGCTCATCTGCGGAAGGAAGCATGAAGTGCTCCAAAATCTCCTGGTAGACGCCTGCGTTGACCCTGGACTTAATGAAGCACAGTGGACCAACACCAGCAGATGACATGGCTCCCCAAATCAACACAGACTGTGGAAACTTCACACTGGACTTCAAGCATTTTGCAGTGTGTGCCTCTCCATTCTTCCTCCAGACTCTACGTTCTTGGTTTCCAAATGAGACGCAAAAGTTGCTCTCATCAGAAAAGAGGACTTTGGACCACTGAGCAACAGACCAGGTCTGTTTTTCTTTAGCACAGGTAAGATGCTTCTGACATTGTTTGTTGTTCAGGAGCGGCTTGACAAGAGGAATACGACATCTAAAGCCCATGTCCAGGATCCGTCTGTGTGTGGTGGATCTTGATGCACTGACTCCAGCCTTTTCCTGACAATCCTCTCCAGGCTGCGGTCATCCCTGCTGCTTGTGCACCTTTTTCTTCCACACTTTTCCCTTCCACAAAACTTTCTTTTAATTTGATTTGAAACAGCACTTTGGGAACATCCAACTTCCTTCGCAATTACCTTTTGAGACTTTTTCTCCTTATGGAGGGGATCCAATGATGGTTTTCTGAACAACTGTCAGGTCAGCAGTTTTCACCATGATTGTGATTCCTACTGAAATAGACTGAGAGACCATTTAAAGGCTCAGAATCCCATTGCAGGTGTTATGGCTTACTTAGCTGATTAGAGTGGGACACTGTGAGCCTAGAATATTGCACCTTTTCACAATATTCTAATTTACTGAGATTGTGGATTTGGGGTTTTCATGAGAATGTAAGCCATAATCATCGCACTTATGACAAATCACAGCTATAACTATCTTGCTTTGCATGTAATGCATCCATCTCATATATTAGTTTCCCCTTTTACATGCATTACTGAAATAAATGAACTTTTGCATGATATTATAATTTTTCAAGTATCACCTGTATGTTATAATGCCTGCAGTACCATACCCAATTTTTGTCGAAATATGTAGAATCCATTTTACAAAAATATGTGGCTTGCTCACTCTCTCTCCAGCTGACTGGATGATGTGGAATTTACACTCAATATTAATTCCATCCAACATTTCCAATCTTGTTGCTACTTTTTATCAGCAACTGTTCACAAATATGTCTGTTTATGTCAGTGAGTAATGGCTGCTTATTGATTGGAATATTCAATGAGTACTGATAGGCAGTTACTGGCAGCTGTTAATGAAAGCCATTTGTTAAGATGAGGCTGACAGCTTCCACTATTCTTTATTGGAGCCACTAACGTTTAGTTAGTGACAGGTTTTCCAACCATGTCACTAATCATTATTGGACAAAAAAAAATATCTGGCATTATGGAAGGATGTTAACGGTTAAATCTCTATGTATCAAGGCAATGACAATGGCCTCAATTTGTTGATTTTGGATAAGCTTTTCAAATGATTTAATATTTTTGGATAAAGTTTAAAAAATTGTGTTCTTCAAAATATGAAAATCACAAAAAAAATTATCATGTAGAAAAAGAAATATATATTCAAAAAGTTTCAAAAAAATATATATCTTTTTAAAAATTTATCCAAAATATTATTGGGGACAAGTTTGGAAATGAGTTGATTGATGGCAGTGAAAACCTAAGACCATTGCAAAAACCCCAGGTCTCTGAAGGCATTTTTAGTTCTGTCTGTTTCAATTGATGTTTAATGTTTTTTTGTTTTTTTTATGCTTTCATTACCAGTACACATTTTAAAGAGAACACATTGTTTGTCAAATTTTATGTATTAAGTAGCTGAGGAAACTTTGACCTACATTATTTAAATATATGTTTAAAGCTGTCTGGATAAGCCATCCATCCCCACAGTTTTAGTTTGTTTTTCTATGAAACCTCTCCCTACCTTATTTCAGATTCTCTGATCCAGTGCATAATTATACAAATTCATTTTATCTGTGAACTGACTTTGGGTGTAGTTTTCTCATGTGAATAATGTGTGATTCCTGGAATTAATATTGCAAGTTTTTTTCCTAGAAGTAGATTGATCACATTCAAGGCACTCTGATGTTCCTAATAATAACAAATATCATACATGTACTGCGTGCAGTACCTGTGTTTTGGTAACTACACAATGTTTAGTATAATAATTAGGGCGTATGGTTTTCTTTAAAACCAGACTTTCCTGTTAGAGAGGGTTTGCTCACGATGATGACTGGTTAATTTTTTGTTTTTATGTTTCATGGTTCTTTTATAAAGAGTGCCTATGGTAGCTTAGGTTGGGTATTGTAGAGAGTTGGAGAAGATATATTTTTTTCTATAAATGATCCAGCTGTTCTTGTAGGACCTCTTATTAAATTTAATAATGACCCTTTAATATTTTTACATAATTCCAGCCCCCCCTACTCCCACTCCCCCGTCCCACCCCCAAAAAAGTGAAAATAAGTCCTATTTTATTTTCAAGCTCGGAGATTTGCAATATTGTTTATAGTACCATGTTTCATGTGAAGAATGGGTGCTTGAGAGAAATGTCTGAACCCTTATATAAAATGTATGCAGGAAACTGAGGATGGAGAGTTAGAGGTTTCCCACGCTGACAGGGTTATTTAATATAGTTAGAATTGTCAGGAATTCAATGGATAATTGAAATAAAATCTCCAAGTTAACTATGCTTACAAGTTCAGAATTTTGGTCTTCAGTTTGGAATTCACTTTAAAAAAAAAAAAAAAATTCTGTGAATTTTCATTTGATATAAAACAGTTTTTAAAATAATGGCATGACTTTGTGATGTAATTTTGTGATATAGGTGTCCTTGGGAAGTATGCTAATATATTTTCATATATTTCCTAGTGTCCTTATCAATGGAGATGTAGATGCTTGTATCAAGCAGTGTCCTGTGTGTCAGATCTACATTGAGAGGAATGAAGGCTGCGCCCAAATGATGTGCAAAAACTGCAAGCACACATTCTGCTGGTACTGCTTGCAAAACCTTGATGTAAGTTATTTACCATTGCCAAAAAAAAAAATATAAATCCCTTTATGAAATAATGATGAGAAAACTCTAACGTTTACTATGTCACAAGTATTCACTCAACAAGGACTGCTCCAGGACAATCAAATACTGGTAAGATCTAATTAAGCCCGATCTGGAGTAATTGTGGTCACATGGAACAATAAGATTGGGACAAAAATTACCAGATTTTACTAATTACATGATGTAAAGTCATGATTTTATAAAGGACACGGAGGCTCATATTAGGCTTTATCTCTTTCTTTATTCCTCAGCAGCAAAGAAAGGATATTGATATTTTTAATATAGCAATAACAAGAAAAAACATACCCTTAAGGGTTAACCAAATAACATTCCAGATATATTAACCAATGGGATCAGTCCTTGTACTATGTCCCCTCATGTGACCTAAGCCACACCCTCTTTCTAGCTGACGCCGAAGCTGAACACATCAACAGGAAAAATTCATAAACTTGGATAGTCTCCGGTAGAGGGTTCCGGTGAGTCTTCTGAAATTGTTAGGGGTAGAGGATGATCCTGGTTATTCCATCACAGGGTTAAGCTGTGGGAGACAGAGAGATATATGGTAAAATATATTCAAATATCTGTCATGCATATAAGCTGTACAAGTTTAAAAAAAAAAAAAAAAGCATTCATATCTGAAACATTTTTCGTACGTCCAGGAAATTCAGCTTCAAAATTAATATTATTAGTATATAACACTGCATCTGAACATCCAAATCACTCCTACCTGTTTATAGGCAATTGGGTGGGAAGATACATGTATGGCTTACCTGTCAACGGGTGGGCTAATACTCGCCTCCGTGTCCTTTATAAAATCATGACTTTACGTCATGTAATTAGTAAAATCTGGTAATTTTATTAAAGGACACGGAGGCTCATATTAGGCTAGTTTCAAGCTGTGAGATGACCATAGACGAGATATGTTCTGTTGGCCGAAAATAGTATTCTAGTAGTAAACGTCGATTCTCAGGACCAATCAGCTGTGCGGAGAAGGTCCTCCAGTTTACAACCAATTGAGAATGCTTTAGAGCCCATAGTGCCTCTAGTAGAATGTACTCCGTAAACTGATGTGTCGATGCCAGCAGCCGACATTATCCATTTCACCCAGCGTGCCAGAGTTACCGTGGATACTGGGTGATGAGGTTTCCTCACCACCAAGAATAGGTCGTGTGTTGTAGAGTTCCGAACCGATTGGGTCCTTTTTTCGTACTCTTGAAGGCATGTTGCCGGGCAGAGGTTAGCATTGTGAGGAAATGATGGGTAGAAGACTGACGTGATTTTTGACTTTGTACGTCTGGTGATATTAAACAGGACACCATGTGGGGTGAAGGACCGTGCATCGATATCCAGGACTCGAACGTCTGACCCCCTTTTGCAGGAAATTAAGCACAGGAGCATAGCCAATTTTGCGGACACTTGCTTGAGTAAGCAAAGGCACTTATTAACATAAGGCTGTATATCGGGGTTGTGGTGGCCGCGCAAATTTTATGCCTCGCAAAAGACGACAAACCAATAAATGCTTCCCAGCTGGGAAACCCTCCCATCCACCGTGAGAACGCCGATCTGTACACATTTATGTTGTGGTAGGCCAAACCTTGGTCAAACAGGGTAGTAAGGAAAACCAGGACGTGATTTACCGGAGCCTGTAGGGGATCCATGTGTTGTTCCACGCACCAACTACACCATGTGTTCCAGGCATGAGTATAGGATTGTCTTGTTCCTGGGGCCCAAGCTCCCGCCAATAAGTCCAAAGTTGTTCGTGGAACATTTGGCAGGGACCAGGGTCCCCAGCGAGGAGCCACGCTAGAAGTCTTAGGTGGCCTTGTATCAGAAGTGAGTGAGAGTTCCCATCAGGATATGATAATAGGTTCCTGGGATCAGTCTGGGAAGGTCAATAGACATTTCCATGAGTGAAGGGAACCAAGGTTGTGCCGTCTAGAACGGTGTTATTAAAACTAGCGATGTTCGGGAGCGTTGTAGGTGTAGGAGAGTTCATGCTATAAGTGAGAAGGGAGGGAAGGCATAGAGCCGGTCGTTTGGCCAATTTTGTAGGTAGGGGCCCACTGCCAATGCGTCTGGGTCCGGTCTCCAGCTGAAGAACGAAGGAAGTTGAGCATTCAGCCGGGATGCAAAAAGGTTGATGTGCATCGGGCCCCAGAGTTGTTGGAGTTTTTGGAATACCAAGTGCTTCAATCGCCAAGTACTGTTGTCTCGTAAATGCCTGGAGTTCCAATCTGCTACCATGTTGGAGAGTCCTGGAAGGTATTCTGCCTGTACTGATATTTTGCGGCTCAGACAGAAATGCCAAAATTCTTTTACCAGATTCGTGAGTATTGTCGATCTCGTGCCACCCAAGTGATTGATGTAGCGAACGGCCGAGATATTGTCCATGCGCAACAGTATGGCACAATTGGTCATGTGTCCGAGGAGGCTTCGGAGAGCGAATGACCCAGCTAGGAGTTCCAAACCATTGATGTGGAGTTCCTTTTCTTGTGAGGACCATTTTCCACCTGTAGAGGTGGGACCACAACGAGCGCCCCATCCGAGTCTGCTCGCGTCGGATTCTATGATGAGATCCAGGGTGGTTCCGAAAATCGCTTTGCCGTTCCATGCTTCCATATGTTGAAGCCACCATGCTAATTCCTCTTTTGCTGCGCAGTCTAGAGGTACAGAATCTGAGTAAGATTGACCCAAGCATAGATGGGTGGCTTTGAGCTGTTGCAGGGATCTGTAATGGAGAGGTCCCGGGAAAATCATTGTATGGAAGCAGACAGCAGACCAATTATCCTGGCCAGTTGTCGTAAGGTCAAGACTGGTCGTGACAAGGTCTGCTGGATTTCCTTTTTGATGAGTTTTACCTTCGTGGTAGGTAGACTGAGCGTTCTGTGAACTGCATCTATATCGAAACCTAGAAATTCTATCGATTGTGAAGGTTGCATGATGGACTTGTCCCAGTTGATTAGGAAACCCAGGTTTTGCAGAAGGTTCAACGTCCAAGATAGATGTTGGTTCAATAGGTGGGTGTCAGGGGGCCATGAGCAGCATGTCGTCGAGGTATATGATCATACGTACACCCCTGCTGCGGAGAAAGGCGACTACCGGTTTCACCAGTTTGGTGAAGCACCATGGGGCTGAGGACAGGCCAAAGGGGAGGCATCTGAACCGCCACATAGTCTTTTCCCATTGGAATTGAAGTAAGTGGTGACATTCTTCGCCAATCGGTATCGTGAGATATGCATCTTGGAGGTCCAGTTTCACCATCCAGTCTCCCAGTCTTAAGAGGTCCTGGAGGCAGTGTATCCCTTCCACTTTGAAGTGATGGTATGTGACAAAGGCGTTGAGAGGTCGCAGGTTTATTACTGGCCTCATGCCTCGACCCTTCTTGGGCACTAAGAAGCTGTTGGTTAGGAAACCAGGGGCGGTAGTGGGGACTTTGTAGATCGCACCTTTCTCTTTTAGTGTGCAAACCTCTTCTGATACTAGGTTTTTGTCTCGTGGGGAAAAAACTATCCGATGTGGCAGTGAGAATTGGATCGGTTGTTGTGTGAATTCGATGCAGTAACCTAGAACGGTCTCTAGGACCCAGGCATCGTGGAAATGAAACAGTCTGCCCCCCACTTTTGATAAGGAACGAGTGTGTAAAGGAAAATGACTCACCATAAGGCCGACGGCCATAGGAGGATTCCCTGGTTCCACGTGGGTGCCACGACCTGCCCCTGGTCGGGAAAAATGGTGAATGTGTTCTGGGTTCGGGAGGATGGAACCGTGTTGTGGCGGAGCCTCTGTAGCCCCGGTATGAAGTCCGGGAGGGGAGGCTGGACAGACTGCCCTGTTGTCTGCCGGCCACACCAAAAACCTTTTGCGAGAACACACGCTTCATATTATGTTGTGCTTTGTCTAGTGCCGTGAACGTGCTGACATAATTACTCAGGGTTTTGACAAAGTCGTCTCCGAATAGGAGACCTTTTGCCTGTGTGCCGGGCTCTGATATTGCCAGATGTATCAGTTTTGGCTCGATTTTCATTAATATGGCTTTATGCCGTTCTGTAGCCAAAGCAGTATTGGCGTTTCCAAGTAGGCAAATGCCTCTCTTGATCCACCCCCTGATGGCCAGTAAGTCAATTGAGGTCCCCTCAGTAAGAGCCGTTTCGACCATATCGAAAATTTTGGCTATATGTTTGAGGGAGTAGTCTAATCCCTTTTTGGCCTTCCATCCCGACTTGCCCAAGAACTGGGCAATCTTGGGGTCCACCTCGGGGGTCACGCAGGCCATGTCTGGGACCATGGGGCGTGGGCATTCTGCCCTCAGTTTACTCCTTGTGGTCTTATCAAGGGGTTTTCTCACCCTGGTTGCTATATAGATGGCCACATGAGTTGTGGGGTACCATTCCACCGAGCGCAGATTGTGCAAAGTGTCAGGGTCAAAGAGGGGTTCCCCTTGGGGGTCTAAAACAGCGGATTCATCCGCCTCCTGTTCAGCGTCTATCGCTGGGTGTGCAGTCTCGCTGCGTTCAAGGGACGAGTTGTCTGAATAAATCGGGTCGATTGCCTTAGACCCATCTGAAGCCTCCTCTGAGTCCGAATCAGAGTCGGACGAATCAGGTAGGGCTTTTGCCTGCTTCCAATTCCGCACCGCTTTTGCCTGGCGGGGGGCTCTTTTATGTGGGAGCACCACGCCCTCAGTTTCAACAGGGCGCAACCTGTCCGCGCAACCTGCAAACTTGCGGCCGCTAGGGACCATTGGCTTGCTATCAGCGGGTATAGGGGGTGCTGAACTGGGGGTTCTGCCATAATGACGGAGGAGATAGTGTGTGACAGGGTGTCTGACATCACTCCCAAGGCATTAAATATAGCCTGTGTCATCGACTTGTTCATTGTAGCATCCAGGAGCGCCTGGAAGTCCTCTGAGTTCACGTGGTTCTGGGATGCTTCACCACCCCTAATGGCTGCAAACCTGTTTGTCAGCCTGGGACTGCATACTGGCCAGAATATACCAAGCTTGAGTTGGGGAAACAGGCACTACTCAGTATGGTGGTTAATGGGGAATGGCACAGGGCAACTGACACCCTTTATAGTGGGTTATGACCTAGGTATGGAAAACACGTGTATAAAAAACTCTGCCTGCACAGTACTAAATCAATTGAGGGCAAAGGCACACTATATGGCACATGAAACAAGGTATTGCACAAATATTATGGTAGCTTACCAAGTGTTCCCTCAGGAATGACTCCTGGGGGACACTGGTAAGCCGCCCAACACCTCCACTAGCCAATCAGCCCGCTCCCCTCCCTTAACGAGCGGCGCGAGTGACGGGTGAAAAAGGCGTCAAAATCGCCAATCGCAAGATGGCCGCCACGATGTGCGGGAGTGAACCGCGCATGCGCGGGCAGCCGAGATAGCGGTTATTAATGGCCGTGATCCGTCGGGCTAGGCAAGTACCCTGCACTAAGGAAACAAGAAACAACAGAAACAAAACACTAAAGCAGTAAAACAAATCAATAATAATTAATGAAAATGATCTGCAAGGTACATTACCACTAGACAAACACCTAAATACAGTACAATTTTTTCAGAGCAGAAAAACATGAGGTACTTAGCTGAGGCAGCAGCAAAGAAAGAGGGAGTGGCTTAGGTCACATGAGGGGACATAGTACAAGGACTGATCCCATTGGTTAATATACCTGGAATGTTATATGGTTAACCCTTAAGGGTATTTGGTTTTTCTTGTTATTGCTATATTAAAAATATCAATATCCTTTCTTTGCTGCTGAGGAATAAAGAAAGAGATAAAGCCTAATATGAGCCTCCGTGTCCTTTAATAAAAATTAAGTCTTACAGTGTAATAATTTTACAGTGTCCAAGCGAGGAGAAAGATGAACTTAAACTTTTTTTTAGCTACAACTCAGCAATTTAAAATGTATGAACCTAAGCTTGTATATTTGGAGTGCTCGGTTTAAATGCATATATATATATAAAAAAAAAGACCAAACCAGCAACATGGTGTAGTATTTTCACCAAAAGATTGCTAGATATATACACTCACAGATTATGGAGCATTTAATTGGCTCATCACTCTGGTATATGTAGGTGGTTGGAGTCCTTTCTATGGGAAAATGCAATAAAAAAACAATATAGTACACACCATATAATAAAATAGGGCTGATAAAAAATGACTTACTTATAGTATTCAGAGCAAAAATGGTTTGTTCAATCCTTTGGTTGGCATATTAATCAAGGAAATGGTGTCCACACGACAACAAAGCATCACAGGAAGGTCTTTATGTAAAAAGCATGTTGTATTTATGGCTTGACCGATGTTGTAATTGGAAGGCATAATATCCACACTGTATCCAGATAGGCCAGTGTTGTGGAAAAAAAGATATCAAAGCAAGAAATTCTGTAGCCTAGCAGAGAATAACAGGTATTACTGTCCAGTCTTATCCGGTGGTGGCATTCGACATTTCAGAGACTTTAAATACAGAGGAGAAAGCTCTTTTTCTCTTTCTTTTTTAGATTAGTGCTTCACTTTCTGCATGTATTGTTATGAAGACGGGTAACTTATTCTGGACTTTGAGGTTTTTTTTTCTCAACACACAGACCCCTATCCAGCAATGTAATTTAGCTCCATGTACAGTTGTGCTCATGGAATAAGTGGGTCTGATGAATAAGCAGATCACAACCACACAGTGGTTGCTGTCACACATTCATAGTAATATGCCAAACCAGTCGTGAACATCCGCAACTGCAGCTCAGCTCTCTGTAGACCTGGAGAGTTGATTGGAAGAAATGCCTGTTCAAGTTAGTCAGATCATTTATAGTAAAGAATAAAAAAAAAATTACACACACAAAAAAAAAACCTCCTTCAAAATACCTTTTACTATTATTACTATTACCAATATTCTCAAGGTACTCTTACAGCTTTGGAATGATTTGAAGTTTTTATATTGACCCTTGAATGTTATTGTATTTATTTGAGACTGAATTTACGTTACATGTTATCTTCAAATCCACAGATCGGGTTTTATAACAATATTTTCATTTGTCTTTTCCAAAATATCTGATCTGCCTATTACTGTACAAGAATTTAGCAGGTGGTTTAAACTCAAGTCTAGAACTATTTTTCAGCAAAGACCCATAACTACACTTATTTGTTAAATCATATATTTTTAATGCCACTTTTAGAACTGTGTTTGTGATGACTTTTTCAATGCTACAATATCCCTGTGTAAACCTTGAATGCTGGTCATCTTAAATGTTAATCCCTGAGCTGTTTTTATTTTTCCTATTTGTACTGTGATTTACAGTAATATGTTATAACCTTGCCTTAACCACTCTGTTTCCATTCAGTCCGATTCTACTAAACTGTGTGACTAGTTTAATTAAGGGGATTTACAATACTGCAAGATTTCCATCAGAAAAGTAATTTTAATAGATAGAACATATGATAAGTGGTTTCAGTGATACCGCACAGTAAGAAGTCAAACCATTATAGTACAGTTTGACAACTCTCTGGGTCAATGCTGCATCCAGTCTTCTTCTGCAGAAGAATAGAATAAAAGATGGCAGTTCTAGGACCGCGTTCATTGGCAGAGCTCTGAATCGGTGAGTGCAGCCCTGTGTGGCCGTGCTTGGCTCTGTAAAGCTAACTGGATTCTCCTGAAGGAGAAGATGTAGGTAGGTTCTGGGGATGCGAATGCCTGTGGGACCCAGGTATTTTCTTAAATTGTATTAATAGGGTTTGACTACTTACTATAGGATGGTGCTAAGGGACTCATAGCACCATAACCACTACAGTGTTCCTTGTAATAATAGTGTTAACTTACTGGCAAGCAATGCAGGGCGCCATTTTCTTTTAAATTGATATTAAAAATTTATCAAATGGCATCACAATCCATTTCAGACAAGTAAAAATATTGCAAATGATGAGGAGAAATAGAAAGATTGATTAATTATTTTTTTTCTGTTAAAGGGACAAAAGTAAAAATAATCACTATTAAGTAGATGTATTTTTTCATTGGTAATGTATCTAAAACAGCTTGCAAAAGCTGCAGATCTCTTGTCTGAAGCATTTTCAAGCCATCACCTTCTTCCCCAGCTCAGACTTTCTGTGGTTGTCCAATCACAGACTTCCAAATCAGTGGCGGACTAAGGGGGGGGGGGTAGAGGGGGCAGTCCGTCCCGGGTGCCGCATGGTAGGGGGTGCCATGACCCTGGTCTGAGGGCCAAAGGGGGATGTGTGCGTTGCGCCTCATGGCAGCTGGGGTGCTGCACAGGCTCACACGCAGAGACCAGCAAGCTGAACTGCCCGCATGAAGGAAAGAAGGGGCAGAGCTTTGGATGTTTGGGGGCAGAGCCAATCCACGAGCAAGGGCGGGGCGTAATACGGCCCTTACCCACTGCTGTTACTGCTACACATGGAGGTTCAGCAAGAAGAAATCCCTGCTCCTCCACCTAACAGGCTCCAGCCAGGGAAGAACTTAAATGAATCCACTCCTCCAGCCCACACTGTCTGTAAGTAAGTGTGTGTAACTGTCTGTAACTGTGTGTGTGTAACTGTCTGCCTGTAACTGTGTGTGTGTGTAACTGTCTGCCTGTAACTATGTGTGTGTGTACCTTTCTGACTGTGACTGTGTGTGACAGTCTGCCTGCGACTGTGTGATGCTGCCTGTAACTGTGTGTGTGTGACTGTCTGCCTGTGACTGTGTGTGTGTGACTGTCTGCATGTAACTGTGTGTGTAACTGTCTGCCCATAACCGTGTGTAACTGTCTGCCTGTAACTGTGTGTGTGTACCTTTCTGACTGTGACTGTGTGTGACAGTCTGCCTGCGACTGTGTGATGCTGCCTGTAACTGTGTGCGTGTGACTATCTGCCTGTGACTGTGTGATGCTGCCTGTAACTGTGTGTGTGTGTGGCTGTAACTATGTGTATGACTGTCTGCCCCTGACCATGTGTGTGACTGTATATGTGACTGTCCACCTGTAACAGTGTGCGTGACTGTGTGTTACTGCTTGTAACTTACTGTGTGTGTGTAACTCTCTACCTGTAACTGTGTGTATGACTGCCTGTGACTATATGTGTGACTGTCTGCGTATGACTGCTTGTAACTGTGTGTGACTGTCTGCCTTTAACTGTGTGTGAGGGGGTGCAGGGATTTTGTAGAAGGGGGCAGGGGTTTAAAAAGTTTACAAATTTGTGCAATACATTTAAAAAAAATGTAAATAAAGAACACATTTTAAAAATTTAGTAGGTGTTTTTATTTGGAGGGTGGGGTGCCAAACCCAGGACCCACCCCGGGTGCCACATGCTGTAGGTACTCCCCTGTTCCCAATGCAGCTCAATGAGAAGTCTTTGCAAGACAGGCGCTCTGGTGCCCAGTTGGTTCTCAATTGCCTTTCTCTTGCATTTCTTTGTCTATGGTGGAAAACAATTCAATAATGTTTTTGTTTGGTCAATAAACTTGGGGTAAAACTGATTTTGTTGCAGCCTTGTGGCATACATTCCTATGCTTTACCTTAAAATATAACACTGTTGTGCTCAATCATGCAGAGCTGAAATCCCTTTAAATTTTCCATTATGCCACATGTGACCTGCAAGGTGAAGTGATGAAGTGACTTTGGACAGGCCTTCATTGGTTTTTGTCTGGTTTAAACTTGCTCAAGCTGTCCGGAGTTGGCCAGTTTTAAGTAATAATAAAAAGAGGCAATTCTAATTTGAGGTTTTAGCTTGTTTGGTTTAACGATTCCATAAACAATGATATTGTGACTAAAAGTAAAAGGTAAACTTCCTAGCTTGTAGTTCTGAGTATATAGTACCTTAAGAGCACATCTGCAACCTGATACAGCCAGCCATTGTTAGTAAACATTGTTTCCGATCACCAAGCCTCAAGAGACATTTACTAAATGTGTCTAGTGTGTGTGAATGTGTGTGTGTTTTTTCTTTTCAACATTTATAATGTTAAACTGTTGGGCCTCTAAACAATTTAAAAATTAAAATTTGGAACATGTTATGCAGATGTCCCCAATAGAGCCCTACACTGAAAAAAAAGAAAGAAAACGAGAAAGAAAACTGCAATTGACTGATTTAGCAGAAAAAGGAAGGTCCCAAGTACATACATTTGTTTCTTTGCCCTAAATTGCTGAGGTGCTGATTAGATAATTAACTGTACCTCACTATGCCCACATACCAAAAGGAAAAAAAAACAAGCAAGTAGTGGCCAACCAAGCTGATAGTGTGGTGGTAAACAAAGAATGGAAAACTGCAGTAGTGGTGGATATGGAAATACCCAATGACCAAACAATTCAGAAGAAGGAACATGAGAAGATGGACAAATACCAAGGACTGAAAGAAGAGCTAGAAAGTATGTGGAAAATGAAGGCAATATTTCCAGTTGTGATAAGAAACACTCAGGCTGTGACCTCCAAATTGGTGGAGTGGCTTCAGTAGATTCCAGGTGGAACATCTGAGATTGCTGTCCAGAAGAGTGAAGCTCTAAGAACAGCTATGAAACTGCACAGAACCCTCAGACTCCCAGTTCTCTGATAGAGGACCCGAGAACGAGGAATAACCCCTCCAAAAAATACCACCCACAAGGTGATGGGAAAATGTATTATTATATTATACATACATATCTTGAATAAGAGATGTTGAAATATAATTTTTTCACAGCGCAAAGCAAAAGTGGCTGCGATACATTTGTAAAATTTTCTTCTACTCCCTGGAGATTAAGCTAGCATGCCAGCTAGTGCAAACAAATATTAATGATTGCCTAATACCATGCATAGTTGGAAGAGCTTCAAATTTCCACAAAGTGAAAAACTAGAAAACCAGCACTCCTTTTTACGGGAATATATATATTTGTTTTCTGGTTTAATTCAGCTCGAAAAAAAACCCCCATACATTACTTCTGCACAGAATGTTTGAAACAAGGAAGTAACAGTCTGCTGAAAATAAAAACCAGTATACTCAATATGCTATATATTGGAGTTCTTTTTACAAAAATAATTCTGACATTTGATGGTCCTGTTATTCCAAAAATACATAATGCATGGGACTTTTTCAAAAATGTATTTATTTTTAAATATTTTATTTTTATTGCACAATTCAGTGTTGCAATACAATCATATTGGCATAAAAAAAAAAAAATATAGACGTGAATTACAATTTCAGACAAGTAATGATATAGCTCATCTCCTAAGCGTAATAATTATGAGCAGAGAACACTGAGAGTAATAGGATAACCAAAACACTGAACCATCTGAACCTATTCATGAATATTTGTGTCGTTTATATAAAACTACTTCAGCTAATCACTTTGTGGAAACAAGTGCTGATTTATTTTTTCTATCTTTCAGAATGATATTTTTCTGCGACATTATGACAAAGGTCCCTGTAGGAACAAGCTTGGACATTCAAGAGCATCTGTTATGTGGAACAGAACACAGGTAGGTGAATTGCAGAAGGACATCAGAATAAATAGTGAACTGTGTCCCATGTCCTTATCTCCATTGGTTGTCCTTGCTTCACAAAGCTAGTTCAGTAAATGTTAATGACCTTTGGACTGTCTTAATGACCCTGTTGGTCAATATAGCCATTTTATTATTGTAACTCTCTGATAAACAGTTTAGCGATTCATTGTCAAATAAATCCATTTCATAATCCTTTAATTTGTTACTTTCACTGTCTCAATTCCTGCCATTGTTCTGTACTGAAAATAAATAGATCAATCCCTCTCCAAATAGAGGTTCATGAAGACATTTAAACAAATCTTCTCTTAGGAGAAAGACTTAATAGATTTAAAGGTTCGTACTGTAGTGGTTATGGTGCAAGGAGTGCCCTGGTGCTCCAGTGTAACTAATCGGATCATCAAAGCCAGACGTTCTCTGTACAAAGTCTGGCACTCACTGCCATTGAGCTAGCGCTGCACTGCATGGCTTAGTTGAGGTGAGCTAACAGAAATTCCAATTTAGGAAGCTCTGTGTCTCTTTCCAGGCGTTGGTAGTGGAGGCAGAGAGCATCTTCTGGAAGACCCCAGATTAAAAGTCAAACCCTTCAAAAACAATTTGGCTTATTACAATGGAGGGAGAGGGGCACTAGGCATTCCTGACACTACAGGGAGTGCAGAATTATTAGGCAAGTTGTATTTTTGAGGATTAATTTTATTATTGAACAACAACCATGTTCTCAATGAACCCAAAAAACTCATTAATATCAAAGCTGAATATTTTTGGAAGTAGTTTTTAGTTTGTTTTTAGTTTTAGCTATGTTAGGGGGATATCTGTGTGTGCAGGTGACTATTACTGTGCATAATTATTAGGCAACTTAACAAAAAACAAATATATACCCATTTCAATTATTTATTATTACCAGTGAAACCAATATAACATCTCAACATTCACAAATATACATTTCTGACATTCAAAAACAAAACAAAAACAAATCAGTGACCAATATAGCCACCTTTCTTTGCAAGGACACTCAAAAGCCTGCCATCCATGGATTCTGTCAGTGTTTTGATCTGTTCACCATCAACATTGCGTGCAGCAGCAACCACAGCCTCCCAGACACTGTTCAGAGAGGTGTACTGTTTTCCCTCCTTGTAAATCTCACATTTGATGATGGACCACAGGTTCTCAATGGGGTTCAGATCAGGTGAACAAGGAGGCCATGTCATTAGATTTTCTTCTCTTATACCCTTTCTTGCCAGCCACGCTGTGGAGTACTTGGACGCGTGTGATGGAGCATTGTCCTGCATGAAAATCATGTTTTTCTTGAAGGATGCAGACTTCTTCCTGTATCACTGCTTGAAGAAGGTGTCTTCCATCCTCAACCCGAAAAGGCTCCACAAGCTCATCTTTGATGATACCAGCCCAAACCAGTACTCCACCTCCACCTTGCTGGTGTCTGAGTCGGACTGGAGCTCTCTGCCCTTTACCAATCCAGCCACGGGCCCATCCATCTGGCCCATCAAGACTCACTCTCATTTCATCAGTCCATAAAACCTTAGAAAAATCAGTCTTGAGATATTTCTTGGCCCAGTCTTGACGTTTCAGCTTGTGTGTCTTGTTCAGTGGTGGTCGTCTTTCAGCCTTTCTTACCTTGGCCATGTCTCTGAGTATTGCACACCTTGTGCTTTTGGGCACTCCAGTGATGTTGCAGCTCTGAAATATGGCCAAACTGGTGGCAAGTGGCATCGTGGCAGCTGCACGCTTGACTTTTCTCAGTTCATGGGCAGTTATTTTGCGCCTTGGTTTTTCCACACGCTTCTTGCGACCCTGTTGACTATTTTGAATGAAACGCTTGATTGTTCGATGATCACGCTTCAGAAGCTTTGCAATTTTAAGAGTGCTGCATCCCTCTGCAAGATATCTCACTATTTTTGACTTTTCTGAGCCTGTCAAGTCCTTCTTTTGACCCATTTTGCCAAAGGAAAGGAAGTTGCCTAATAATTATGCACACCTGATATAGGGTGTTGATGTCATTAGACCACACCCCTTCTCATTACAGAGATGCACATCACCTAATATGCTTAATTGGTAGTAGGCTTTCGAGCCTATACAGCTTGGAGTAAGACAACATGCATAAAGAGGATGATGTGGTCAAAATACTCATTTGCCTAATAATTCTGCACTCCCTGTATTACTACTACAGTGAGCTAAAGTGGTTATGGTGTTTAGGTTGTTCTTTTTAATTGTATATGTTATTTAAATTTTTTTTTTTTTTTGTTTTGTTTTGCTACAGGTTGTAGGCATCCTTGTTGGCTTGGGGATTATTGCTATTGTGACATCACCTTTGCTTCTTTTGGCATCACCTTGCATAATCTGTTGTGTCTGCAAATCATGCAAAAGCAAGAAGAAGAAACAGAGCCCGTCCCCCACCACCTAGCAGTGTGTTCACGTGTCCATGTGGAAGCACAACTGGGTATAAAGCATTGTGCACCACATTCATATAGCCTTGAAATTTTCTTTGACTCTTGACACGTCACTATGAAAAGAAATGGCCGGACCATTGCAAAATATATCTCGTATAGGGAATACTGGTACTTAAGAGTGAAAAATACCCTAAACCCTTATAGGTAAATCTTTACCGCTATGCCATATTTAAAGGATCAGTAATGCCTAATTATAAATAGCTTTTATATGATTTAGCACACTGAGATAAGTTCAAATATGTATGCAAAATGTATAACATTTGTCTTGAGTGTTTTATTGCTTCACAAATTCATAAACTTTAAAAAGAGACTGGAGTTGGGGGTGATGGAAAGAGAGAACCACTGTAAGTGACTTATGTGATATAAAAGCTGTATTGTAATTGGCTGTTAAAATACAGAGGCAAATTTACAAAGAAATAGTCCAGAATAATTACAGTATTGACTGGAGCTTGACAACAGCTTCAGGAGAAGCCAATATGTTGCTTGTTTGTCTGGGATCTCAAATTGGAGGGCCTTCATTATCTACTGCAGTGTGGTGGAGAATTGTGAATACTTGCCAGACTTGGTGGGGAAATCAAATGAAAGAATATCTCCTTGCCTCTTGCATATTTTTGAACTCTTTTATATAAACTCCACTTAAAATAAAGCATTACTGTTCCTTTAAAAGATGGGCTCAAGTCAAGGAAATCTTGTAGCACCAAAAAGAATAACTTTGTGCTAAAAATGTAAACCCCCCCCCTTTTTTTTTTTACTAAACTATATATATTTTTTCTTTTTTTCTTCGATTCTAAAAAAAATTAATCTAGCTTTTCCCTCCCATGCGAAGATGAATGCACTTATTTGCTAAAATGTGCAATGGTTTTATAACCTGCCGACTGTATAATGTAACTGTGTAATTTATCAAATGAATCAAATCTATATTTCTAAGAAAAACATCATATATTTCCTCTAGAGATAATGTACATAGAATAAATAATCACAATATAATTGCACTGTCTATTGTAACTGTAAAGATATATATATATTTTTTTTTCTTGTTTTTATTAGCTGTTGTTTTTTTTTTAATTTAATTTTTGGAATACATTTTGTTTTTTTAGGGTTTCATGTAAATGCTGGAATCCACGTTATTTTTAACACGTGTCAAGGTGTGGCTAGTTCAGTTTAGCTTATCTCCCTTTGCTGACGTTGCCATATATGTAAATATCTTGCCAGGCACTCATAAGATTGGATATGCAATCACTGACCCAGTACTAGTGTGCAGGGGTCGGTACTAATGTTGGTGAAATGTACTGTAGGTAGGGGTGTAAGCAGATTTTCAAACTGCATTTAAAGGTACAAATTCTTGGGGCTTTTGTGGAAGATATATGCTGTGCCAAGTTATTACAATATTTAGAATAACTATTCAAATAATTATGGTCACATTCTATATTTACTCAGTAGGAATTGGGTTTTCTAGCTAAAAACTTTTACAGTAAAACGTTTGTGCTGTTTCTCTGCTCAACTGATCAGCAGATATTGTTACCTGGACATTGTTCATAGGAATCGAATAGACTTTGTTCTGTTCTTTTGCAAATAGGCTATTTCCTGGAAATTAGTGATGTTGTAATCAGGATAATGTGGTGAAGGTTTATCATTGACAACAGTGATAGAAGCACAAAATGCTTGCTATAATGTACGATTAGAGCAAATCCAGTCATTTGCTCTCTTTTACAAGCATCATGGAAGATATTTAAGGAATGTAAACATTTGGATTCTATTACAGTCCAGTCCTGCAGTTAATTACTAGATGACATCATTTGCTGGTTTCTGATTATCCTGCACCATTATTGTTTTGTGTAGCATTGATACATTGTCATATTGCACCTCAAAGATATTCCTAAAAATGTGACCGTCGCTATTGACACTTGTCATGCTGAACATGCAGATGATATATACTTAAATCACAATAAACCCCCATAATCACTTGATTTAAAAAAAAAAAAAAAAAAAGTAAAACGACAAATAGGATGCTCCATAGCTGCTACGTACCTACCTACATAAATGGTGTTTGCCTTATAAGCTATCTAAATCCATGTTGGCTGCCTGGCACTGGACCCTTAAGGGCTTATTTAGTGGCTGGCCATGCCACGTGCGTGCTTCCTCATTGCAGCCATATAAGGCTATGTGGTTTTTATCTCCTTATCCATTTCATCTAGATAAATGTACTTTTTAAAATTCTCCGTTATACTTCCTCCTTACTAAAGGGACTCTCCAGGGTGGATTTTCCATGTTTTAGAAAGACATTGCATTTGAGGAAGTATCGGAAAGAGAAAAAGAAAATCAAGTCTAAAAAAATCCCTTTTTTTGCAGCCAATTCCCTCCCCAGAAAAAAAAGGACCGATAGAGCATTTGAAGCTGTATGCTTGTTACTAGAAGTCTCCCCAACATCCCCTTAGAAGTAGTATTTTTACAAGGTGAGCTATGGCGCAAGATATATTTACAGTCTTGTAAAATCCATGCACCAATCATCATGTTGGATCATTCTTTTATACTTTGTATTCATGAAGTATCCCTTTAGGTGTTTGAAAAGATGCTGGTTAACATGAATTTGAACTTCCAAACATTTCTCTGGCATTCCACAGAAGTACATGTGTTCTATAGACTTTTCAAAAGCTCTGAAAAATAGGCATTCGCTGCAAATAGATTTATTTTGGCAAATTGTCAAGAACATCTACTTCCAAGCTGAGACATTTATTCCCCTTTGTCTGATACAGATTCAGGATGATCCTTTATTTTATTTTTTGCTTTCCATTAGACACCCAGGCAGACAAATCCATGATGAAATTGTCAACACTTGGTTAAAGTACTAAGAGTCTTGGTAAACATTTCCCTTATATTGTAATGCATTCATTCTGGATTTCCAAGAGCTTTGCTAAGCTTTTATACTCTGGAGCAGCTGGAATTCCAGATGTTGTCTCACTTTATGTCATGAAATAACCACTTGAGTATGTTGCAAGTTTTCTGTACTCCTTGTTCTTCACATTGTGTGCAATCTATAAAAAGTATTTGTTGGCTCATGTTAGATGTTATATGCACTGAGGACTATTTCTCATTGCATCTTCAAATTACACTAATCCATAATTTATATAAAACCTGTCCACATGCATGCAGCAATCAAGCCCAAGTGCAATTATTTTTTAAGCTACCGGTTTTTTTTTTTTAGAGAAATCTTAAAATGTTTTGTTATGTGCATGTAGCTGGTTAATGCAATATCATTTATAATTTTATTTTTTTCTTCTGTAGTTGTCAACTTGTACTTTAGCAAGACCCTGATTTTTACTGGCTATGGTGCCATTTAACTGCTGTCCTTAAGGAACCAAGGATAGGATACGAACAACCCAGCCAACATTAAAGTGGAACTGCCACTTCCGGGTAGTTTTAATATTCTGTTTAATTAGCCTGATATTTAAAGTAACACCGAAAACACTTAAGCTTGTGAAGCGTGTGTTCTTACTTTCCCTCCCTCCATCCCTCCATCCCCCCAAAAATTGGCACTTTTATAAAGTAACCTTGTTACACTCCCCTGGCTATCAACCAGATAATTGGTCCTGATTTGGTTAGCTCAGTGGAGCTAAACTCAAGAGGCAGCAATTTCCCAGAGCACTTGCCTCATTGACCTGCGCTAGAAAGTCTGTGATTGGAAAGTCTGGGCTGGAGAGATCTGCAGCTTTTGCAGGCTGTTTTTCCAATATAACCCCAACTGAAAAGCTCAAAATTAAATGCGTGCATGCGTTTCATTGGAGGTCCATCTACTAAATAGTGTTTTGGGTTTTTTTTAAATGTATTTCTGTGGAATTTGGGCAGTGGAATGTCCCTTTAACAGAAAAAAGGAATGAATGTTTCCATGTCTCCTCATACTTTGCAAACTGAATTGGGATAGTATTTGATAAATCTAAGATAGAAATTTAAAATGAAATGGTGCATCTTTTGAAATGATGTTACTACAAGTTATAGTTGATTTTTCAGTATTTTAATTAATGGTGAATATTTCAGAGAAGTGACAATTCCCCTTTCAGAAAACCATTGTAAGCTCCTTTTTGACAGCTACATATGCAGCACAGTAGGAATCTGTGTGGGAAAATGTGTATGTTATTCAACTACTGGCTACATTTTCATTCTGCTATTAAAATGCATCTGAGCCTCAAATATTACTGCTCAGTGTTGCTTTCATATAAAATATGCTGGAAGCATCCTTGCAACCGTTCTTCATAGCACAGGAAGTTTATCATTTTAGAGTTGTCATGCTCACTGTCTTAGAGTTGTACTAAAAATAAATTAAACTTGCACTCATTTTCAAAACCTGTTACAGAAAGCTAATGAAAATGTATACAGCAAAGTGGAAGCTGCTCATGAAATTATTTTAACTTCATATCATTCATCCATAGTGTAAACTGAATAGAAATATATAAGACTGACTACATATACTTTTTAAGTTACAAAGCAAAACATTTTGCAATGATGCATCACGCTTAAAGGGATCCTATAGAGCCAGGAAAACAAACCCATTTTCCTGGCAATATAGGTCCCTACAGTGCCCACCTCCCTCTCGCGGGGCTGAAGGTGTTAAAACCCCTTCAGCCACTTACCTGAATCCAGCACCAATGTCCCTCGATGCCGGGTCAGACTCCACCCACGCTCCTCCTCAGCCAGCGAGGGAGACCTAATCCGCATGGGGGGCTATGGCTGCGCGCCCACTAGACCTCCCCATAGGAGGGCATTATTCAATGCTTTCCTATGGGGAAAATCTGACGCTGGAGGTCCGTCAGATAAACGGACCAAAAGTCTATTTGGATTCTGAAAGTGCCCCCAGTGGCTGTCTGGTAAACAGCCACTGAGGGCAGATTTAGAGTTTCTCTGGAACTGCAATGTTTAACATTGCAGCACTAAGTGCAATAGGGAGACAATAGGGAGACAGCACCCTGACTAAGTGATCTGGATGCCTACAGTGTCTCTTTAATAAACATGTTAAGGTCCCCAGGACACCCATCAGTTATCCATGGATCTTCTTGGCCTACACTTCTTTTATATTATCTTGAGATCTGTTGCTGGTAATGAGAATCATTTGCAGGCTGGACAAGTAAATATTGGAATTAAAGTTCAGAAAGACATTTCAATTATATAAGTAAAACAGACCTTAATATAACATTTGTTTAGCATGTAAAGGAAACATTAGAAACTGTTAATAAAATCTGTATTTAATATCAGATAATGTTGTTATTATTAAAAAAGCAGCGTACCAATGTAACTGTTATCTTAGATCATTTGAGTCTATTCATCAGCTCTGAATTTATTCCTAAGGCATTTCCAAGGTCATTAACCCTGGTGAAAGTCTGGTGGGTGTGTTAGTTGACTTTGTCAGCCAGAACCCTGGTGATCTTAATATGGGTTTTATGTGTAGTGTGTGTAGCGGTTAGCCACGTTGTAAAATTGGCAACTGAATGGGCAACTTTGCAATTCGTATATCTTCTAAGTAAGACCCTTGATCAACAATTAGAGCACCTAATGTAATTAAAAGCTTTTAATTTAGTACGAGCTTAGTTTGACCCACTGGATTTATGAAAAGCTTCTGACAGGGGCTTTTTATAAAATCCAGTCATATTAGTTATACGATTATCTTGTTTCTGTATCAGGGCTTGAATGTTTGATCTGTAACCGTCTCAAGCAATATGTAGCAAATTCACTCACACCTTGCAACTTTTCAGAACCAGGACAAGGTATCATAGTCGGAATAAATAACTTTTATTATTATTGTAAATGCCACACATCCATTAAATGTGTCAGAATGTGTACTATTGATAGAAATCTGATGAACGGTCAATTTTTAAAAACCCAGGTGTTTCTATATAAAAATATATATATTAGTCCACCTTGAACACACAACATTATGTTAATTTAACAGGTCATTGCTTAAAAATGTTTTTTTTAAATTTTATTTTATTTTTTTGCACAGCTTTTCGGGGGATTATCATACTTCTCAAATATCATTGCTAAAGTTGTGACAAAAAGTTTAATAAACTATTTAATGTTTGTCTTTTTTTTTATTAACTTCTGCACTTGCTGTTCTTTTTGATAATCCTTAAATCAGAAGGAACACTTTTGATCTTTGTAAGATTCATCATGCAAATGTTTGGTTTTCTGTATAAATTGTAATGTGCATGTGTAAATGTTGGTCTCTGATGTTACATTTTAAACCATGTTAAGGGTTGTATTTCCACATATGGATTCACTACTTGTATAATATTTATTGTGTGCATAAACGCCGCTCTGCCTTTTCTCATTCTAGGTTTACAAATGTTATTAAAAAAGGGAAACAGATGGAGGAAATGCTTGTTTTGTTATCTGTACAGAAATAAACGATGTCCCTCAGCTTGTAGTTGAAGCTCTTTTTTTTTGTTAACTTACTTGTGTATTGTGGTAACCATGATACCATTTAAACATGTTTTCATGTTCTTCCAACTTTTTTTTTAGAAATTTGGAATGCTTAAAATCATGTGATATGTTTTTACAGAAAAGTTATTTTCCATAAAACAAAACTTTTACCAAAATAATAAGATTGCACCGTAGTATTTTTTAAATCTTTGAATATATAGTGTATTATTCTAATTTTCTATATTACAGTGTTTTCTTTCTTTCTCCCTAATTTTGAAGACTACATTGCAACTCGCTTGCAATATAATTTTTTTGCAATATACAGCGCACCCCTCTGGCAGAGAAACGGTTAACAGGAAAGCAGACATCATGTAAGGTGTAACAGAACAACTCCCATGTAAATTATTGAAGTTTTGCATGCACAAACCTGCCAGTATAATGAAAACAAAGCATTAATACCTTCTCAGATGTAAGGGCATTAATTTTCCGTATTAGAGCCTGTTCGATTGTCATATTCCCCTTTATAACTCGTTTGAAAGACTATGTCAAGCTAGATAACCGTACAGTTCATGGGTGGGGTGGTAGACTAGGCCTTTTTATCTACTGGCATTCGATAAGAAAGGAGGAAGAAAACCTGAATGCAAAATGTGACTATGTAAATTGTGTTACATGTATTTGCTTCTCAAATATACTCCTGTACAATGTCTATAAATATCCTAAGACAAATCTTAAAAACATTCCCCATGCTTAACAATGTATTTTAACAGCTCTCCCAGAATACCATGCAAAATATGCAAATATTTCCAGACAGCATTCACTTTGTTGCCCTTTTTTTTTTGTATGACTCATTTGCAGCGATTGCTCCTAATACAGCTTCTTAGGCCACTGCATGCCTTAGGTTAATGCCAATTTTAACCCACTCATGTCTATAATAATTATACTTATTTTCACATATTTGTTTTGTTAATATTTATATTGTCATAGTGCTTTGGTAGAGTTGTGGAAATTGCATAGAGCTGCTAAATATGTAGATACAGCAGTATGTTAGAACATTTACTTTGGTGTTTACCACAGATTTAGTAACGAGTTGTATGTATTTAAATGTGATATATGGTGTTTGCACAGTTTTTTTACCTATGTCAAACAACGGTTAAAAATATAATTATCCTTATTATTTGGAGATTCTTATGGTCAGCAACAGATCTAAAACTGCACATAAATCTTCTTGTGAGTAGCTGCCCCTGCAAAATCAATGAACTATCTAAATTCTGCCAGTTTAGTGCAAATTAAAATGTACACTAAAAAGTTGGAATTCTGTCACTGAAAATATAAAATGCATTATTACTGTAATTGTGTAATACAACAAGCGTCCCAAACATGTAAATACATAAACTGGCGCATAGAATTCAGTCTGTTTCCAATTACTTTTTCTGGTTGATGACATAGATTGGTATACAACTAATTTCTGAATTTAAGCAGTACTTGGGACTACAACTGGTACAAATGTGACTGACTTTTAACCTACAAAATACTGTGATCTGAATCACGCATTTCAGTGTTATCTAATGATAAATCAACTTTTTTTTTTCCTTTTCCATTAGACCTTTTAAGTATCTTGCCTTTATCTGGCTGATTACATACTGGTTAATATAACCAATACATTATAAGATCTAGGAATGCCAAGGGGATAGGGATGTGAACATACCCCTGGGAAAATGGCACCATTTGGGACAGGGGTCCTCAAACTCCGGCCCCCCAGATGTTGCTGAACTACAACTCCCATGATTCTCTGGCTGTCTATGTAATTCAAAGAATCATGGGAGTTGTAGTTCATCAACATCTGGGGGGACCAGAGTTTGAAGACCCCTGATTTAGGACATCTGAGACAACTGCTATGGAAATCTTGGTCCTAGATTCCAAAATGGTAAAATTGGTGATGATGATTATAGTGCCATTACCAGGCAGATTATGACTGCAGCAATTGGTAGATTAATATAAAAAGGAATATGCAAGGACATGCTCTGTATGTATATATGAATTTGCTAGGACAGCTGCTGACATATAGCCAGTGGATGGGAAGACATTACAGCATCTGATGAGCATGTATTCACATTTATTTATATATAATATATTTTACCACATAATGTCATATATGTGCTTGTGCAAATTAATCTTTCTGTCTGGTTCAGCAAGGTCATGGATTTAGCCAGTTCAGATTTTAGAAGAATAGTCTGTAGAAGTATGGCTTGCTGTGCCAAGTGTGACTGTTTAGTGTGAGTTTCTATATATATTTTTTTTTATTGTAGTACAAAGCCCAGATGCATGCTTGTAATAACATAATTTATTTTTATCTATTTAGTGCAGTTAAATAAAAAAAATATATATTTATGGATCTTAAGGTAATTCAACTGCCAAGATAACATACTGCACAATTATATATTCTAAGCAGCTTTATACATGAACTGTGTGAATCCATATGCTATGCTTGGGAGGGGGTTTGGGTATAGGTTCCGAGAGAAAGAATTCGCATTATATAAAAGAGTCGAAATATACTGACATGAGAATAGGCAGCAAGCTTAATAAAATGGTAAAGGAAAAGTTTCACATCAAAGAATACATGCAACTAAATTCAAAGGATATCAATCTAAAGCCAGGTATTGCAAGAACCATAAGCTGCCGCAAGGTGAGCCTCTATAGAAATGTATTAAGTGACTGTCTGCTGCTTAGATGATCATAGGTAGTAAAGCTTAACTTTAGGGACATTTCACACTAGAGTGGTAAGTTTCTCTTAGGCTTTTGAGAAGAAGTAAATGACAATGCTAGTTTCCAGGTATTGGCAAACATGTTGGCTCCTGACATATCGGTAAGTTGAACTTGCTGTCCATCATGGACGACTGTCAGTTTCTGCCTTGGACCCCAGCAGTGCAGAATAGCATTGCTCCTCAAAAGGGGTGTAATAGGCTATAGAGACTGTAGAGGGACACCTGTCATCAATCTCGCACTTATCAAGTGTGAACTGTATAGGTGGCATCTTGGAAGTCCTTGGCTGTGGAGGTGAGCGCAACAGGTTTCCAATATATTTGGATCATGTGACCACTCTGCTTCAATTAAGTTTAATGTGCTTCCCCATTTCAGCAACCAGCAGTAGAGTAATAGCAATAAACGTAATTTGCAGTTTTCGCCTGAATTTTGCACTTTTCAGCTCTGTCGCTAACTCCAACCCTGTGAGTTTCTTTTTATACCATAACCATAATTGAAAATTTCAAGCCCTACATTACTAAATAGGTCTATAAAGTTATTTGCCACTGCAGGCAAGAAGGATCTACGATAAGTTGACCGGTGGTCAATTTCTAATCACAAAAAGACAATCGCTTTAGTCCATGGGAAGTACTAGTGGCATGGGAAAGGCAACACAACAACCCAGTTTAGAGTCACTCTTTTCTGGTCAGATAGAGATTGCATACAAGAAGTGGAAGTAGTGCCATACAGAATGAGAGAAATGAACAAATATAGGGTAGTATACATATAGTATGGCGTGTAAAAGAAGAGATGCACTTACAATTTTTGGAGCTACTCTGTGAGCCGGTATAATCCCAGTTTAAGAGTCTATGGTGTAACTCTTGACCTAGATTTGGCAAGCCAGGGAGTATGTCATAAAAAACAGAATAGACACCTAAATAGTATATTATGACAACATATACGGAGTAAGTAAATAAATGAAATTGCACTCATATGTAGTGAAGCACACTAATGGCTCCTAATTTACAGTGTGGAGTAGTATCTTGCTGGAGTCCTCTCTTTCGTGTTATGTGAAAGAGAACAAAAACAAAGATATAGTGCACATTCTATAGTAAATAAGTGCAAACAAATGGAAATTGTCTTACTGGTCCAGAACCCAAAATGGTTTTGCTCAATCCACAAAGCTTGGGTGGTACGTTCTCCACCAATAAAAATGGTGTCCAGAAAGTAGTTGAATAAAGCAGGTTAGTCCAAAATCTATCTATCCTAAAATGGATTAAAACAAAGAAAAGCATTACTTATAACAACACATTTCACCATTAACAGGGCTTTCTCAAAGTGTTACAGTAACCTTGATGCTTACTGCTTATATAACAGGAGAACAAATTAAAATTTGGCGGTCAAATGACATTGTCATATTGACAACAGATTAGAAAAGAACAAGTAAATATAGGTCTTACAGCATTGGAGACCCCACCAAATGAACAAAAGAAAAACTGGAGGTGTACTATATAGTGCCGAGGTGCAGGTCACATGACTCTCAGTTCGGCATGAATGAATAGTAAAAAACACTATGAAAGCTGTATATATTAAAAAGGCAAGGAATGGTGATGTGATTTTTCTCTTAGAAAAGTAGAAACAAGGATGAGGATGCGCTGGAATTTGGGAGAAAAAACTTCTCCAAAGTGGCCCCGAAACAAAAGTCTCAGTCACATGACTGGTGATCGGCTGGCTCACTAGAGTGTGGAAGGAAGGGAAGCATTGATAGGTGGAATTTTAATACAAAAAAAAAAAAAAAACAAGCATGCACAATGATCAGCCACATCATTAAAACTTCTCACAGGTGAAGTGAATAACATTGATTACATCAATACAATGACACCTGTCAAAGGGTGGGATATAATAGGCAGGAAGTGAACAAGCAGTCAGAAAAAAGGGGCAAGTAGAAAGATCTGAGTGACTTTGGCAAGGACCAAACAGTGACGGCTAGATGGTTGGATCAGATCTCCAAAACAGCAAGTCTTGTAGGGTATATGCAGTTGTTAGAACCTACCGAAAAAGCTGGCTGTGATAGAAAAATGTCAGAATACACAGTGCATTGCATTTTACTGTGTATTGGGCTGCATAGCGGCAGATTGGTAAGAGTGCCCATGATGATACCTGTCCGTTACAAAAAGCCCCTTTGAAGAAGAAGTGAGCATCAAAACTGGACTATGGAGTAATGGAAGAAGGTTAAAACAAATAACCAAAAAGTGGAAAGTGCTTAACCCCTTAAGGACCAAACTTCTGGAATAAAAGGGAATCGTGACATGTCACACATGTCATGTGTCCTTAAGGGGTTAAATA